GAAGACAATTTATTCAATATGCAAGAGCCAGTCAAGTATTGGAGATTACTCACGGAAAAGAGATGCGTCATGTTCGATACCGTTGTGCAGGTCAAGTTCCTCCAAATCAAAGGTATCATTACTGTAGCTTTTCTTGAGTATACGAGCTGCGAAATGAGGCACATAAGAGCAGAAAGAGGGACCGAAGTTGTAGGTTGTCCGGATCTGGTGGTTAAGTTCGACAAATGAGATGTTACGGCCGCTGCGTGGGATGATGCCTGTGTTTCAATGTAAGAGATCTATGAGTCTTATTGTGTGGGGAATCAAGACTAACCGTGATTGGCCATCGCATTGAGTGCTGGGCATGAGCAACGGGAGTCACCTTCCTGAGCAGGCTTAAACTCGGGCCAGTACCCTCCATAACCTGGGTGGCCCTCGGGCGTGACGTGCCCGATGCGGCGCTTCCTCCTCACGAGATTGGAGAGTGTAAGGAGCACATCCCAAGACATGACTCCGGCATCGAAGAAAAAGTTAGACACGCTGGAGAAGATACCCATTTTGCTGCAAGGACGTGGATCTCGGGTTGAGGGACTTGTTCACTGGCATGGCGCCCAAGCATCATGATGGCTTTATAGGATGGTCTGAGAAGGTTACGTATGACTGCCAGTGAAAGCTAGTAGGCGGTGCCTCAAGGTGAACTCTTCCGACCCGGAGGATCATAGAGGGTAATATTAATGGAACATGTGGTTTGAGGGTTACTCAGACTGATATAGGCGGGCCTCGAGGTTCGTGATGGAAGAAATCAAAACGCCTAATAGGCCTCAACAACGGGCCGCATCTGGCAGTTGTTTACCGTGTCAACCCTGACCAACGGATTTCAATATTAATTATTTAAATAATTTCTACGGGACGGGTATTCGGCCGCCGATTTGCAACCATCCATGGCGAATCGGCTCCTGACAATTGCCCTTCCGATATTAATTTCGGCTCCACAAAGCTCCCGAAAACCTGTAACACGTTTTGAATTTTAAGACCTCGAGAACCTTGACCACAACTTTCTGGCACTCATCAGCAAAAGGCCTTGAAATTTCGCTTGTCAAAAAGAAGTTTGATGCTTACGGTGAGCTTACGACCTGGTGATCGGAGCAACGTGATTGGTGGAACAGATTTTTCTGTAGTTACACTGTAAATATCTCGATGCTGAACTACTAGTCTAGGGTTTGTGCTATTCACAAACCCTAGACTTGGGCCACTCATAATTAGCTGCTAGTGACGCTCATAAAGCTTCGCAGAGATTAATGCACGAATTCAAAACTATATGTGCTGCTATTGTGAGCTACTGATACTATGCGAACTCCGTACTCAATGTGTGATAACTGTCCTTATCCGCAAAATTGTTCAGAAAAAAGCGGTCATAACTTTCCAAACAAATGGCTGAAGAAATCTTTTCGTCCACCTTTTGGCCATATTCTGGGATCAACTCGACAGTGTGTGTTACACTTGTCAATGGAACCACACCACCACATCTGTGTTTGCCGTGTTGGTCTTCCACATATGAGCGTTCTACTGTCCACATCGCGAGTTCAGGCCGGTCATTGGGACTGGCGACAAAGTCGTAGTACTGAATATAGAGCAGCGGATGGGATAGATATGATGGCAAAACTAGGTCAGAAGCACGTGGAAGAGTCGGTTGAAAAATAAGTCGAACTTGTGCGATATGACTTACTGAACATAATCTCGTTAGTGCTGGAACATAAAAACAAAAATGACATACTGGTTTGGCCATCGTCGCCTGTGACGTCGACGAGGACATTATCACAGTTTCCGAGGGGAAATCCGCTATCTGGTGGATACGCCTGGATCACTCTGCTGGGCATGATCAGCTGTGGCCGGAAGGCCGAATGAAGCTGTAATCGAAATTTTTTCCATGCATGAAAGCGTCCATATTTGTGGTCCCAGCGGGTATGCTCGCCGGTGGAAAGAGAAAAACATTTGATGAACTGAGAGAGTGCATGATCAAAATCAATGAGCGAATATATGGTATGAATGTCGGTGGGCGACAAAGATTTGAAATCTGGTGTCGACGTCAGATGGAAGGCAGTGAGTGCATCTCCGGAAAGAATGCCCTTGAGGAAATGGTTACGAACTGGCCGAGGTCCGTGAACAGAGTGCGATTCATCAGGGAGAACACGAGAAACCCAGGAGAGCGCTGGATTGACGGTTGTCACCGCCTCATCCTCAGTGCATATCACATTGACAAGTGATGCATGATGAGAACGGAACAGTGCGTACAAATTAAACAGCTCTATTGACTCCTGGCAGTTGAGAATCCGTACAGACTGTTCCACGAAGTCGTTGACTCGTCGATTTGTTCGTACAAAGAGATCCTTGCAGTGAGTAATGAGCAAGCGCTCCGTCATATCCGCCGAAAACTGCATCAAAGTGCCCAGTCTCTCGACTGTGCCTCTGAAGCTTTGGAGCAACTCGAGTTTAGGAATAAAGAAATCTTCCTTAACACCTTTCTTCCCCCTCCGAGCCTGGGCCTCGATGACAGCGTGCTTGAATGTATGAAAGTCTGAAAGGGACTGCATCATTGACGACAAGGTTTCTGCAGAATGAATCGGATTTTGGGCAAGATAAATGAAGTCAACGAGGGCACGGATTGCGCGAATGAAGTTAGGTGGAGCAACACCTGCAATCGAAGCAACAATGGTGCGTTGAATATCTCGATGCTCACGACCTGTCATCTGGTTGACGTGCGTGATACCTTTGGTGAAGTGGCGTGTTCCCACCCGCTTATGCTGATTCATGTAGCGAGCATCGAGTTCGGATTTTCCTACTACCTCCTTGATCCAGGTGAGCGGATGGTCAGCAAAAAATTTGATGCAGGTGTGCAAGATCTCGCCAGCGAGAAAGACAGACGGACATGCGTAGATCCAGTCACGCCAATATGGCATGTGGACTCCAGATAGATGGACAGCTTTGGCTGCCTTCTGGAATTTGTCGAGATCCCAAACATCAATTGTTTGGGAGATCTCACAGATAAGTTGTAGCGTGTGTTGCCCAGTACGAGGAGGGTAGAGAACCCCATCACCAAAATTTTCTTGTGACGCCATTGTTAAAGGAGATGCACTTTTACTAACCGCAGCGATCATGCAAGCCTCTGGCAGGTCACATACGTGAGCGACGAGTGGCGTATAGACATAACGAATAAATCTGGAAGGATCAGGCATAAAGCAGCCTGTCTTGGCTGCCTGTTTAAGGTTGGCGCAGACAAGGTCAACGCACTTATGCCACAGCCGCGCCTGAAGAATGGTTTGATAATCGGGATGCACGCGAAACTTAGCGACGGGCATGTAAGCGATACAGCGCCAAGCTCGGAGTGTGGCCTTGGAGCGAACTTCTGAATCAAGGTTACCGATGGTGATGAAGATGGGGTGCATCTCGAGTCCCCCAGTGGTCCTCGTCACGGGAGTTTTGTCGGACCCTAAAATGATCGGTACTTGTGTAGCACCTAATGGGAGACAGTCCTACACGGAATCAATCTTTGAGTAGTCGACTAAGCAGGGCAAACTTACCTGAATTTTCCATGCTAAATCAGCGCTCATATAATCTCCATACTCGCGCTGATTCCCAACATGAACTACGTGGGGCTGAAAGGTAATATTATTGGTGAAAACTGGGTCACTGAAAAGTTGTTTGACGACTTCCAGAGCATCGCGCCAAATGAGCTGAATGGGATGGACAGTCTTGTAGCCTGTAAACTCTAGTTTTGAAACTTTCCACTCTGCAAGACAGGGTAGTGCGTCCATCCAATCTAGAAGTTGATCTTTTGAGGTGAAAGATGGTTTTGGGCGAGTGCTAAACTGTGAAAGAGTCAGACTTGTCGAATAGTGCTTAGAGTCTCCTACCCATTTCAACTTCAAGAACTTGTCAATTTGAGTCTGATTCAGGTTTTGAATCAAGAAACTAGCTAATTCCCACTCCCCCTCGTCATGGAAAGGATAATAAGTGTTTATCTCCCGCCGATAATTATATTGATCGTCCTGCAACCTGTCATATAGGTTTTTACCGATACCAAAGACGTATCCAGAGCGAGGATGACAATGGCCAGTGGTATTAGATGGCGGACCTCGCAACCCAGGGGGAACGGCTGATTGTTGTGAACGTGCTTTGTGCGGCCAGCAGGTAGACTGTGAATTGAGATGCAGAACGACTGCTTCGATCGAAGGGAACTCCCTATTGCAATTGGGACACAGCCTGGTAAAGGTATGCATACTAAAGCTAAAGTCAAAGCAACTTAATGGATAATACGCACATTTACTTGGGCAATGGGTCAGCGTTGGAGTCTAGTCTTTCAAACTCCGCTGTGTTGCTTGCTGACATTGCCAGTGTATTCACAGGGTATTGGTGTATTCACTGTACTATTATCAGCCTGCATTGAAGGCTAGAGAGACACTGTCTTGCCGACATTGATATTTGTTCATGTCACCCTCACTTCCACCTTCATCTCCGACTCGACCCAGCAGTCCCGGCAACTGCCTCCCTCCATCAAGCAGTCCCCCATCCTCTCCTCTATCGGGATCTTCTTCAGCTCCTGGGTCGCCTCTTTTTGATTCTTTCCATCTCTCAGAGAGTTCTCCTGATACCAGACATTCTGACCTATGTGCTTCCCTCAAAGGTATCTCCTCAGCGGAGAAGACACCTCCGCCCGTGACTCCGGCTTCTGCTACTGAGGGATCAAACAGCTTATTTTATAATCCACCCGCATCTCCAGATCTTTCTCGCAGTGCTCGACGTCAGTTTATACGTGACAGAATGAGCAGGAAGTTTGTACCATACCCCCCGGACCCAGCTCCACTCGAGGTTCGTTTTGCAGCGCGTCTTATGGGGCGGGAACGCAGACCTTATGTATCCAGCGAATCTCTTCTCAAGGTATTATTATTCTATCCAGTTCCATCCAAACAACTCATTTATATTTTATAAAGCATGCTGGATACTTAGAGAATGGCCTTGCGCAAATGCATCCTTCAACTCTGTACAAAGGATACCAGGCACAGCTTGCAGCTCGTGAGACTGCGCGTCAGCGCATGCTGGCGACTGCGTGGGAAATCGAGGAAACTGAACGCTTCATCATATTCCTCAATGCCATACATGCCGACAATGAAGACCGGCTCAAACTCACAGACGACCAGTTACACGCCTTTAGGAACCTCTTTTCTGAGCGTGACTGCGTAGATGCCGATGATGACCGAGACTATCTTCAAGCGGTCTATGAAGATGAATGCGAAATTCTTAAGATTGTCGCATCCCAAGCTGAGCATGTGGCAAAGGTCTTAGGCTCACGTGTCAGCAAGGCTTTCCAACATGGGGTTGGAGCATCCAGATCGTCTTCGTTGCAACCTGGGTTTGTTGGTGATGACAGTGTCGATAAGGCATCTGTAGAATCCGGGGCCGATGGTTCCGGATCCCCCACTGCCGGCGGGGTTCCTGATGACGACGACAACCCTATATATCTGGGAACCCCTGATAACCTTGGAATTCATCCCAAAGCGTCTTGCGTGGCCACCGCAATGTGACTTCTTATCGTGGTAAGTCGATTCATGTGTCTGATTATTACTCCACACTGATTGATTGATAAGGAATGTTGTAATACACGCGACACCCTTTCATCATAGCCTTCTTCCAGACCGTGTTAGTTTGTCATATGCACACCGTTTTTTACCTCCTCGCCCCTTCTTTCCCCGCTTCTTTGACCTCACGGTCACAAGTACATCAAGTCACAAGCTGTATAGTTTGTTTGCATTCGCGTATCTCCGTTTGTATTAGAATTGTAATTGATATGCCCTTTGCCCTCCCCCAAGTGATTCTACCTTGATGAGTACCCAACGTCGTGCGCCGCGCAAAGGTAAAACCACAATTCCAAAACCTCCTCGAGGATCTGGTCTCAACCCTTCCCATGCGCCTGCGGACACGCAGATCAATATTCCCGACGAACAACCGCGGCCTCCGGAAATGTCTAACTTCGATCCACATCAGCGACAGCACGCCTTTGGTACATATAATCAGTGAGTCTTCCCATCTCTTTTGTCGCGGACTCAGACTCAAAATAACAATAGGCCGAGTCCCGGCTACTCAAATCCTGGAGATAGTAGCTCAGGTGCCGGGTACACCAACTCGCTCTTAGGCGCCGGGTACACCAACTCGCTCTCTAATGCCGGGTACACCAACTCGCTCTCTAACGCTGGGTACACCAACTCTCTCTCTAGCGCCGGGTACACCAACTCTCTCTCTAGCGCCGGCTACACCAACTCTCTCTCTAGTGCCGGCTACACTAACTCTCTCTCTAGCGCCGGCTACACCAACTCTCTCTCTGCTGCCGGCTATAGCGCCCAGTCCTCCTCCCAGTCCTTGTCTGGCGCTCAATCCCCAAGGGCTGGTCCCTCAAACATCAACTACAATGTTCCATCACTCGCGTCACGTACGTATTGTTTCTTTTCATTGTAAATCATTTTCTAACAAACACACCATGTTCAGCACCGAGCTCCCACCTTATCGGGCCCATACCTCATTGGTTGGGCGGTGATGCCGACGCCGCACGCGCACTGACACACAATCCCATACTGGACGAAATACCGGTATCCAACGTGATACATGTGAGTACTTAATGTTATATATCTTACTACACGTTTTAATGATAACAGACTTTGGGTCCGGTGCGCTCTATCGAAAGACGCCGACGCTCCCGACGTATGCCCTCAACGCCGTCGTTGGCGCCTTATTCGGCGCCCCCATGCCCGACGCGTACCCCAAATCCCAGCCCGCCTCCATCCCCAACGCGCACTCCAAATCCTGGCCCGTCCTCGGCTACAACGTCGAGTGACGTTGTCATCCAGGTCAAGGTCAGTGCGGCGGACCGCGAGCAAGTCTACAGCCGCTCGCGAGACCTTATCAAGGGCACCATCTTCACGCCTGATGCAATCGCATCAAAATCTGAGGACCAGAGTCGCCTCGTCAGGGATATGATCAAAGCATCAGCGCCTTCCATTCCGAGCCTTCGCGGTAAGTTCAATGAAGACTCTTTTAGCTTATACTGAATGAATAGTAGGGCTAAATCGATGGCCATCGACGCCGAAAGATGTGCCGACGATTTGGCGGGGAGTGGTCCTAGTGCGTTCGACGATGATGACGATTGCGCGACAAAACATGGTGATGGCATACGACCTGCTCCCCGAACACGATTCCAACATCCCGCCAGATCAATTTCGTGTCGATCGAGTAGCTAGTCTTGTGCGAGACAAGGCCTATATGCACAAACATTCATTTTCTCAAGTATGTTTATTTTTTGTTTCGAAATCAAGATCTAACTAAGGCTTAGGACGGGACGGTGATCATTCACAACAAATGCCAGAATAAATTCATATTCACCCTGCTCATCAAACTCATCTGGCTCTCGAATCACGGACTTCACGCGCTACTCGGCAACCACCAATCACCTCGTGAGGCACTGCATCATGCGTACTGCCTTGCATGTTCAATAACGGAGCATGCATTATTGGAACAAGGCCAACTAATATTCACGAAGCAGAAGTTCTCGCCGACTGAGAACAAGACGATATTCGATAGCGTTAATTTTTTTCTAAATTCTCTCAGTGAGGAGGAGAAGGCAAGTCTTGATAGATGGAAAGACCATCTGATTGTTTGTGGGAGGTCGCAACAGGGGTCTACTGCCATTCTTTCCGATTTCGACTTGACTATTGAAACGTAGAATTTGGACTATAGTTCGCAGTTTTAGCATAGTTCATAGTTTTTGTGTTAGATTCCCACAAATTTCGTGATTCTACCTACAATAAATTATTAAAATGCATACCGGAGTGCTTCAAACAGTCAGATATTAGTATTACGAACGCCAAACGTATACCGGAGTACTTAAAACAGTCATTACGGATGCCTGACCTGACTATACCATATCCGAGAAGTTTCAGACATGTTTTAAACTCGGTTCGAACACGGACCCTCTCTTAGATGCTTGTCAATATTTGGTCACGTGAACAGCAACGACGATTCGTCTATGCACGCGAAGGTCGCCATCCTCAACTCGGGTTGTTCATTGCCTATCTGCTTGTCCAGAATACCCGGTACATCCGCGCTCATCTCACTCCCATATCAAATTTCATCAGTGCAGTACATCACACTCGTCCATTACTTCGCTGCCCTCGGCCTTCTCCGGTGATTGACGCTTTTGGTGCCCACCCTGGTCACCATCATCCTTCAACGTTCAACTCCGCCAAAGCCCGCCGCCAAACTCCTCACTCTACGTTATACCCCCGACAACACCAGTGACCAGTCATCCTGTCACTGAGTTGTTCGACATCGATGCGTCTCCTGCCCTGACCTTATACACGAGCCGAAATACCTTAACAAGCGGTGTTGAGGGTCTGCCTGTACATTTCGACGTAGATCACACAAGCCCCTGAACGCTCATCAGTGGCAAAGACCCTAAAGTTAAACGTTAAACGTTTAGGCCCCGCCCTCGCACGTACCTGTTCTGTATTCTACCACGTTCGCATCACTCTTTTCAAGCATATGGCCAAGCTAGCTGCTCCGCATGCCCCCAACCCCCTCCGCGCATCTACAGCCTACGGACATCAGCATGGCTGTGTGCCTGCTGTTCGATGTTTTGCCTCTCGAGGCTTGCTAGCAGCCTAGTCTGACTGTCACAATCCGACAGGCACTAGGGTTTGAGGGCACCTCTAAAATGGCCGGTCTGGGCCAAATTTAATCTCTAGGGTATGACACGGTAAGGCTTGCCCGGGTTATACCCGCACCCGTCCTGTGGGTACTGAAGTTTCCAGAGACCTACCCGTACTCACCCGGGTCAGAGCATCACGGGTGCGGTCCACTGGTAGGTGGTACGGATCACCCACGGGTGACCAAGTGTATAGTGCGCGGCTGCTACTAAAAGGACTAGTGAGTACACGAGTACACATGGTTTTCGTCTTTGTTGTAACGAAGATATCTTGGCGGTTATTACCAGGCAGGCAGCGGATAAAGAACTGGCAGGCACAAAGCAAAATGGGCAGTGGGCTGCGGTGGGTGCATTGGCGGGATTGATTGGCTTCAAAACATCCAGCGGAGTTAAAACTTTGCTCGGAGTGCCGTTGGTTGCTGTCGTGTCCCAGTTTAACCAGATCTCTATCAGCAGGGTTTGAAATGCTAAGTAAGATGGTTTCTGAACAATAGCTATAGAGCTGATCCTTTTTAGAATACTAATGAGCCGATAAGATATACGGCCAAATCGGTTCTTTCGATTGACAGCTGCGACCTAGTACTTCAAGTTGATCAACAGTCAGCTTGGCCACTATTACACGCTTGTCGTTATCTGGTATGACATTTGCATGATGTCACGGTAAATCATCACTAACACATGAACTTTGTCGATACGCAAAGGCTAGATAAGGCGAAATTCACTGCTTGCGTTTAAGTATGGGGGGCCTGAGTGGAGTTTGGAGCGTGTCCATCAAAGCCCAAGGCACAGGTTTTTATGATATTTGACAGCGGTGACGTTCACACAGCCATGAAGCGGCCAGTCCGCAGTCCCAGACTTTCCCAGAATCAAAGATCTAACCTCGATGTTTCTGCTTTCCGGATGGCCTATAAACGCTGCTGGCTAGCGCTAGGGAAACACCAACCTCCCCGCCCCAATAGTCACTAAAGGGTTGAACAACCAATGCTGTGTCGCAGTCCATGTAACCTCGAAGCAAGAGAATCGTATCGATCGGATTTTTTCCGGCGCTACGGTAGGTCGTGCTGGTCAGTCAAGACTCAAGAAGACTTGCAGTACATACGTGACTATGTGCGATAGGCCGAACCAGAAGCCTGGCGCGTAGCTTAGCTGCATGTAGAACGAAATCCACGGCCGTTTATATTTAGTAGACAATTACTAGTAGACAGCGTACCCGTACCCGAACTAGATCTTCCAAAGTCGGGAGCATGTCTGACTTCTAGTCACTTCAAGGTTGCGTAAATTTGAATCTTCTTGCAGGCTTGTTCTGTTACGTGCCCCCGGGGACTCCTTCTTTCTGCTATTTTTGCCACTGCTCGCGGAGACTTTACGGTCTGGTAATACTAGATTTGTGTAAGCTCGCTGCTTACCTGAGTTCCCATGATCAGCGCTCAGCATACATCAGGGAAAGCCTTCCCCCCGAAATCGAGGTAATTTCCAGTAAATCCCTGGTTTTCCTTTGATTTTCAGCGAAATCATGTTTTACTGTTTTATTTAAGTCCGGTCATAGTTTCAACGAATTAGTTCGAATTCCAAGTGATTTCTTCTGAATACTAATGAATTAGTTCGAATTCACTCGTCGGTCATTGTCAAAATACACGAAAATCAACATTATATTGGATCAGAATGGCCTGTCAGTATGTACAAACGACTATCAAAATGTACAAAGTGAGATCAGTAATACATGGGTATCCGCGGGTGCACATGGCACAACAACCTTAGTTCAATCCTCGGACATTGCACTGAGATCGAGGTAGTCGAAGTTGCTCAGCGCACCAGATGGCAGCAACACATTGTCCGACACACTAACATAGTATGTTAATGGCAGGCATTCGATCAGAGGATGATGAAACACACCAGACAGCCTTGTAAAGCCGTGCCATCAGCGCATGATACTTCTTTTTACCGCCTTCAAAGATCCGAGTGAGGGTTGCTTCATGGGCTTTGTAAACGCTAATGTAGACAGTAGCATTGAATGATTTGACTTGAGAGCTCGATGGTGGATTGCCGCTCCTCCAGTCCATCAGTATGGCATAGATCTGCAACAACCGTCACATTTAGTAAGTATTCATCTAGAAAATACAAATAAAAAACGTACAACAGTTGCAAACATAGGTATGTAGCATAATTTTTTTGCACAATATGGGTTTAGGCGCTCACCTTTGCGCTCCAGTGCTTTTTCCTTTGAAGACCGTTGCAGCTCTTTGCGAGAATGTGAGTTTTTTTGGGTCTGATTATGACAGCCTCTGTACTCACTGCTATCTGCGATGTCATCAGCTATGTCTGGGGTTACGACCTCAGCGCCGGAAGACACTTGTCTCGCCGCTACTTTCTCTTTCTTTTTAGCATTCCTCTTCTGAGCAGCTATCTCAGATGGACGGGGAGGCATTTTAAAAGGTGAATGAGTGTTTTCTCTTTTCAAAGAGTGTACTGCTATGAAATTGAATGATACAGGACGCTGAGGGTAAAAAGAATGTAGCGGTCAAGTTGGTGGGCAGTGTTAAAGAAAAAAGTTCATAGTCCGCTGAACTTTGCATAGGCAGGGTTGCAGGGTTGCGCTGGGGCAGGGTTGACAAAGTTCGTAGTCCGCTGAACTTTGCTTGAAGCTTTGTTTGTGGCTGTAGGTTGTCTTTGTTACGGCCCTTGTTTTTTTACCACCAGAATGATCACTTGCCCAGGCTGCGCTAAGAACTTCGAGCTCGCTGGCTTGAAAGACGCGAGAAGATGTTATGGCACAATAATTTCGTCCAATGGCACCTTGCTGGCGATCCTCCTCCACAAGACAGGTTACCGCCCGACATGGACTATCGTCGCTCGATCAAGATGACGAAACACCCAACTATTAGACGTGTTCCATTGGATAGTGTACAGTGGCTCAAAAAAGTGTCCCAATGTTTGTAGCTTTTCATGTAATTGCTATATCATGTGTCGAGACGTGGGAATATGACTAAGCTATAGGGAGATGTCGGAAAGGTCTGCATCTCAGCTTCATTTCGGTTTCCTATACCGTGGGAAACTAATGACATTATGTGAAGATATGAGTATTTTAATTTGATGACTCATTGGGACACTTTTTTGACTTTGAGTTTTACTAATGTAATCTCTATAATTCTAGTACTGTGTGTGACCTCCTTCTGCTCCAATCACTTCTGCCACTCTTCTAAACATATTCTCTATCAATTTTGGGTATTCCTCTTTGGTGATTCCATCATACTCTGCTGTAACACTGTCTCATAGTTGGAATAGCCCCTACAGTGAATCTTGATATGCTACAAGTAATTTCTTGAGTGATTCTCAGGGGTATTCAATATGTTTGATGTCTTGGGTCTATGTTGAACATGATAGAATAGTAATATCATGGTTTGCAAGCTATTGGTGGCTTATTTAGAGGTATACTTGGGGTCATTGTCTTATCACAAAACAGTATCTTCTTCATTAACTCATAACTTCTGCATGCTTCTTAGCAGACACTCCTGTCAAATGAGTATTTACTACTCTGTATTCATCCTCCCCTTTGCTTCATAGAAGATTCCCACTCCATTTTATCTCATATAGTCCTATACCATCAAGTTTTGTCTTGAAACTTAAGGTGTTTATTTAACTTTTCTTTATCTTAATGATTGTCTTATCTATTTTAATATAAATTCCTTGCCATATGATTTCATCCTATTGATTTTAACCTTATCTAACTAGATAAACCTCTTTCAGCTATTAGCAGTCCGATATTTGTACTTGAAAGTAGCATCTTGTCTTTTATTTTTATAGGTTGGAGACAGAGGAATCTGTTTTTCTTGATTATAGCTTTAAGATGGGCTGTCTTGAGAGTCTGTCTGACTATTTGAGTAGAGATAGTCATAGGAATGATGGAAATAATCAATTTAATCACTTTATTAGCATCAGCAGTCTTTCCAATTAGAATATAGTGATTAAGAGATCTTAAGTCTTATAGAGCAACCTTCTAGATTGGCTACCAAATAACTTAAAGACCATAATATTACTATTCTATCATGTTCAACATAGACCCAAGACATCAAACATATTGAATACCCCTGAGAATCACTCAAGAAATTACTTGTAGCATATCAAGATTCACTGTAGGGGCTATTCCAACTATGAGACAGTGTTACAGCAGAGTATGATGGAATCACCAAAGAGGAATACCCAAAATTGATAGAGAATATGTTTAGAAGAGTGGCAGAAGTGATTGGAGCAGAAGGAGGTCACACACAGTACTAGAATTATAGAGATTACATTAGTAAAACTCAAAGTCAAAAAAGTGTCCCAATGAGTCATCAAATTAAAATACTCATATCTTCACATAATGTCATTAGTTTCCCACGGTATAGAAAACCGAAATGAAGCTGAGATGCAGACCTTTCCGACATCTCCCTATAGCTTAGTCATATTCCCATGTCTCGACACATGATATAGCAATTACATGAAAAGCTACAAACATTGGGACACTTTTTTGAGCCACTGTAGTTCGCGACTATGGCGCCACTTTTTTCACCGAAGCATTAGCTCGTTATGTCGTTCGCACAAATCAACCTGGCCTTTCTCCAGCGCAACTTGAACAAGAAGCTTCCCATGTCATCTATTGAGAGTATAGCAGGGCGTTCACGCGAGGCTAGACAGGTAAGATCTCAGTATTCGGATTACGAATCTGTTTATTGACAAGTGTTTTTACCTAGACAGGTAAGCTACGGTATACGTTAGTACTTGTACTCAAACGTTACATTAGAAGACTTACATCTCAGTATTCGGATTACGAATCTGAGATGTTTCGATGGTGGATGGCTGCTTTTATATGGTGAGTGCGCCAGCTGGCCTTTTGATGAAAACATATACTAAAGGAATAAAAAAAGATAGCCGACGTTGACACGTCGTCTGGAATCTCCGTTTGGTGGCGCTCGCACCTCGAGCTGCCTTACTCTTCGGCCGTAGTCCCATATCCTCCTCTATCGGCCTTTCCGTCCTCGGGTTCTTCGGCTCTCAACATCATCCTTCCCTTCCAGACTGTTGCCGCATTCCATAGGGTCAAGTTCCATGCAATCAATGCTCACGGACATCGTGATTCAACCGTTACCGTGGATTCAGTGCACTGTCAGCCACCACGAAAGGACAAAAGAAGGCAGATAGTTCCTGCGCGCTTCGACACGGTTTTAGTTAACGAAGATGGTGGTGGGACGACAGGTGTTGATGGTGCGTGTTTTTTGTACTAATCCCTTGTAACATCATGCTAATATTTGATCATCAATATCAGGGTATCGTGTTGCACAAGTGCGCACCATCTTCACGCTGACAAGCCAGGCTACAGCTGCCTTATTTCGCACACCTGGAATTTTGCCTACCCACTTTGCATATGTGGAATGGTTCACACGCCATTCGGGCAGCCTGAAGCAAACCATGGTTTGTATTTTTGTTCGAGGATGCGACGGACGAAAGAATGACAGAAAGAATTCTATAAACGAAAGTAGTAAGTACTCAGTCTCAATAGTCGAAGACTTGGAGACTACTAGCTGACCTATAAACGAAAGTAGTAAGTACTAGAGTAGTAGTCAGTATCGTAGTAAAGAGTCTAAATAAATAATATCATACCTCAGTCTCAATAGTCGAAGACTGAGGTGCTAAGTAATATAAAACTTCTAATGAGCGCATAGCGTATTATGTAAGCGAGTGTTGTTTGTTGTTGTCCGAATCAAAGTTATCACTTATCTATAATCTTTCAACACGCCCACTCAACGAATCAAACTCTCGCCGTTCAACACTCCCATTCCTTCGATGAATCGTCCATGCTTCTCGCGCGCAAGTGCCTTCGTCAAAACGTCGGCAATCTGTTCATTCGTGGGAACATACTCAACGCATATCTCTCCTTCCTCCAACTTTTCTCGGATAAAGTGATACCGGATCACGATATGTTTGGTATGTTCGTGAAACATGGCATTTTTGGCTAACAGAATTGCAGATTGATTGTCGATTTGGAGAGTTATTGGGGGAGTTTCTGAGGAGTTTAGTTCTCTGAGTAGGGTCCTCAACCAAACGGCCTCCTTCGTAGCAGCGGCGGCGGCCATATATTCTGCTTCGGTACTGGAAAGTGCGACTGAACTTTGCTTCTTCGAACTCCAACTAACTGCTCCTCCAGATATTGAAAATATATATCTGGTTATCGAACGCCGGTCATTGACATCTGAGGCCCAGTCTGCGTCGACGAACGCATGTAAGTCCGTTTCTGACTTCCCTTGATATGTCAAACATTTATTGACGGTCCCGCGTAGATACCGATAGACACGCTTTAGAGCGGTCCAGTGCGCTTGTCCGGGGGTAGCTGCAAATCTGCTCAGAGCACCTACTGCGAACGCGATGTCCGGACGTGTCGCAAGCATCGCATACATCAGTGCACCTAGGGCACTTTGGTAAGTCTTCACATCGACTTCGGCTTCATTCACTTTGATGAGCTTGGTATTAGGGTCCATTGGCGTATTCACAGGACGACTGGATCCCATATCGAAACGCTCGAGTATCGATTCGATGTAGCGGCTTTGTGACAGCTTGATCGTGCGTTTATCGCGGTCGCGAATGATTTCCATTCCCAAAATCCAGCGCGCTTCTCCCAAATCGGTAAGCTCGTACTCTGCTGCTAACCGTTTCTTCAGCTCATCTATCATCTTCTTATCCTTTGACAGTATCATTTTGTCGTCAACATAGACGGCGACTATAATGATTGTGCCGTTCTCGACCTTGTAGAAGACAGAATGGTCTGCATTGCTGCGTGTGAAGCCGAGAGACTCGAAGACGGTACGTAGTCTTTTGTACCATGCTTTGTGTGCCTGCTTAAGACCGTATAGAGCACGTTTGAGCTTCCAAACTTGATTCGACGAGTCACGAAAGCCAGGAGGGAGCTGCAGGTAAATTTCCTCATCCAATTCACCGTTTAGAAAAGCTGACTTGACGTCCATCTGATGTATATCTAGATCGTACTTGGCTGCAAGGGCAAGAAGGACTCGAATCGTCGAGAACTTCGTGACGGGGGCAAAGGTGTCTGTGTAGTCAATCCCTTGGACCTGCGTGAAACCTTTCGTGACGAGTCTGGCCTTATAGCGTTCAATTTCGCCATGCGGGCCGCGCTTAATTTTATAGACCCATTTCGAGTCTACAACCTTGCGGTCACGAGGGCGTTTGACTTCCTCGTATAGGCCAATCTTCTCGAAGATCTTCAATTCTTCGGTCATCGCCGTGTACCATAGATCTGCGTCTGGACGATTCATTGCTTCATGGAACGTCCCAGGCTCACCATTACAAGCTACTGTAGCCTTGTAAGCCTCCCCATGTGTCTCCGCAGCCTCAATCGCGCCCACTGCCTCAGGTATGTCTTGTATAACCGGTTCCTCTCTTTGAAGTGTTGACTTCTCATAGGCGTTTATGAAGTAGCGAGGATCATCGTCTCGCATAGGTGTGCGTCGCGCTCGCGAGCTGCGCCTTACTTCAGGTGGAGGAGCTGGGCGAGGATATGGAGCAGGAGGTGCTATTTGTCGAGTGGCTGAAGGGGTTAGTGGTTGAACACGGTGTGTCTCCAATGCACGCGTGTTGTTCGGTGCTGACATTTCCTTGTTCTGGTCTTCAGGCTCGAACTTGACCATGCTTAGAGGAGCTGGTTGTCCATCGACATCATCATCCTCGTGGGGAGATTCGGTAGCTGGATTTCCCACTTCCGGTGTGTCATCGTCTGATAATTCTTCTATAATTGTTGACTTATGAGGAGCTTCCAGGCCTTGCAGGTCGTCTGTGTTGTGCTTTGCAGCAGTGACCTGTTTCTCTGGGAGAAATGTGTCTATCTTGACACGACTAGGCCCTTGCGGATCTCCTTCATCGAAGACGACGTCTCGCGACTCGAGGATGCGACCGGTTGGACGATGCAGGCATACATAGGCCTTTCGATGTTCGGCATACCCAAGGTTGACGCATTCAAGCGATTTCACACCGAGCTTCTGGCGTTTTTCATCAGGTATGTGTACATGGGCTTTGCACCCAAATACCCGGAGATGGGATACTGATGGTTTGTTCCCAGTGAACGCTTCGTGTGGTGTAATGTCTCCATCTATCGCACGAGTTGGAACCCGGTTCAATATGTGCGCCGAATATAGGATCGCATCTCCCCAATATGTGTTTGGCAGTCCGGCGTCTCGTAGCAAGCTGCGTGCCATTTCAACTAAGGTCCGATTCATCCGCTCTGCGACACCGTTCTCTTGTGGTGTGTATGCGTTTGTTTTCTCGTGATGGATGCCTTTTGACTCGAGATAGGATACAAATTGTTTTGATCCATATTCCCCCCCACCATCACTACGAAAATAGTTGGGGCGTTCTCCAGTCTCGGTCTCTGCACGTTCAAAGTATCCTTTGGTGAGTGCGAATGTTTCATCCTTGGTCTTCACAAGTTTAACCACGAGATGGTGTGAATAGGCATCTATGAATGTAACGAAGTATCGGAAGCCGGCGCGCGACACTGTTTCCATGGGTCCGCATACATCAGAGTATGTGCGATACAGGACTCCTGGGCTTTCGACATTTGATTTCGTTGGGATTGGGTTGCGGTGTTGCTTGCCTTCAAGGCAAGGCTGACACACTGCCTTATTGTGAGTACTTGAACCCTTTATGTTGATCCCATTGACCATATCTTTCGAAATTAACTTAGATATGGAGTCGAAATTTACATGCCCAAGTCGTCGATGCCATGTGTCCAGAGTTGCACTCGAATGGAGCATGCGTGAGGTGAGAGCTGTTATGGGGACATCTGGATCGAGTGGAGCTGATGGTCCTTGCAGAATTTATGCATGTGCTTTCTCGCAGGGCTTTACTCGAAGGACGTATAGCGAGTTTCGCTTATGTGCGAGAGCGACGGTCTTTCCCTTTGCAAGGATCTTGCATTGGGAACCATCAAAGGTGACTTCGAGACCTTGTTTCGTGAGGTGGGGAACTGACAGAAGGTTCGCATTCAGGTCTGGTATGTGATAGACTTCCTGCAGGATGGAGTGGATGTACTCATTTTCACCAACATAGACGTTTATTTCAGCACGTCCGATACCTATCGCATCTATCGAGCGTCCATCTCCGATGATTACTTTTCTGGGTGGGTTCAGTGTGCGATATTTGATGAAAATTTCCCGCTGACACGTCATGTTTGCAGATGCGCCAGAGTCCACTATCCAATCATCTTTGGATGCGGATGTAGAGTGCCCATGTGCCATGAATAATTGGAGCGGTGTGTCATGGTCCGACGAAATGCGTGCGACCTTCGCAGATAGGTCCGTTTTTCCTTTGTCTTTGTCCACCTGCTTCCCACTCTTTTCAGCGTCTTCAGCAGCTTTCTTCTTTCGACAGTCCTTCTCCTCATGTCCAGGAATGTGGCAGTATGTGCACTTTTCCTTTGACTTCTTCTTGTCCTTATCCTTGCGCTTAGGCTTATTCTTTTGCGCAGGTCCCTTCGCAACGAGCGCAGATTGGCTATTGCTAGCCTGTCGTTGCCTTTCCTCTACCAGCACTTGGGCTATAACAGTTTCGGTGGTGAGTTTGTCACTACTGGACATTAGGATCGTTCGAAGGGTGGCATAGGATGAAGGTAAGGATATCACCATCGCAACTGCGACCAGTGAATCGTCGAGCGGCTGACCAAGCGAGGACAGTATGAATGCCTTCTGTCGCATGGTGTTTAGCTGCGTTTCCATAGGAGATTCGTCCGTCAAGGTACTTCGAAACAATTCGCCAATGAGTTGAGCAATTGTTTGCTTTCCTCTACCCTTGTATCGCTCACAGAGCTTCTTCCAGGCATCTTTAGCTATTGGCACATAGAGTATCCCATTCAAGGGATCATCTTTCAGCGTGAGAGCTATCTGAGCTCGTGCTTCCTTGTTCCTTGCTAACCATTCCTGGTGTTGAACAGGGTGCGTTGTGCTATCTGGCATCTTTTCACTTCCTTCAACAATTCCCCATAGTCCTCGAAGGTCAAGGATTAACTCGACACGGTACTTCCATAGTTGGAAGTTTGAACCGTCGTTTTCGAGGGATGGAATATCATATAGACGATTTGAGGCTTGTGCAGTTCTGCTTGTAGATGTAGAACTGGATGATATGGAAGGGATGTTCGAGGATGAAGCAGCTGCACCTGACTGGGCTGCAGACACTGAGGGTGTGTTCGACATTTAATTCTTGTTTCGGTTGATGTTCCTTTGTGGTACTGGATTGATTCTAAGCACCAGGGCTCATAACCTTTTGTTCGAGGATGCGACGGACGAAAGAATGACAGAAAGAATTCTATAAACGAAAGTAGTAAGTACTCAGTCTCAATAGTCGAAGACTTGGAGACTACTAGCTGACCTATAAACGAAAGTAGTAAGTACTAGAGTAGTAGTCAGTATCGTAGTAAAGAGTCTAAATAAATAATATCATACCTCAGTCTCAATAGTCGAAGACTGAGGTGCTAAGTAATATAAAACTTCTAATGAGCGCATAGCGTATTATGTAAGCGAGTGTTGTTTGTTGTTGTCCGAATCAAAGTTATCACTTATCTATAATCTTTCAACATGTATAAAATTTCCCGCCTCATTCGTAATGGAGAGCGTCTGGCAAGCATCATTGACATTTCTGATATTCGCAGGAGTGTACATCTTATTCCAAAATTCGGCCCTGTAGCACCTCGTGAATGGACCAGTAGTACCGTTCTGGAGCTTTGTTCTACCTTCTTCGTAAACTCGTTCAGCGACAGGCATGCTTATTTAACTATTATCTGACTAGTACTAGAATCGACTACATTCATCTGAAATACAATGATTTCTGTGAAAATACTACATTTCCTGGAATTCAACCGTTTTAAGCTCGAGTTTGAATATTTCGGTGAATTTCCTGGCAGAGGCTTTCCCTGATGAATTCACGTTGTCAAAGGCTGGTCGTAATAATAGAGGCTGGTCCTGCAGTTTCAGGCTTGTTACTTTTAGCATGCTGCAAAATCAAATACAGTTTGGTTTTGAGCTTACAATGCAAAAGCGCTGGAGACAATAGAAACCGACAGCTGCGAAACTGAGCCAATCTGGTTCGACCAAGTTTGACTGAGCTGACACGTGATGGAAACGAAAGTGAAGGTGGGCGAGAGTGTGACAAGAAAATATAAGCGTGAATGCGATTTGCGGCTGCTTGGTCACAGGCTTTGCTGGCTTTCAGGAAGATGAATGCTGGAGACGGATTTCGGTCGTGTGAGTCGCTTAGGAAGCGCGTGCGGAGTGGTGGGATGGGCACAGGTATTGAAGAGACTGATGTTGTCTCGAGTTCGGGTTTATAATACAAATAAAATGGATCTCGGGGCGAGGACGCAAGGCCGTTCTCTTTGGCATGCTCACCAACATGATCTCCATCTTCGCATTCACACTCATCCTCCCTAAACGGACCCACGCTTCAAAGCCGTTTCATCTACTCCACATCCGCTTCATTTGAATCAACAAACCCTGCGTGTCCTCTTCATCCTCGCTAAGTGGTGTCAGCGGGACTTGAAAAGGCGATTCAAATGAGGAGAAGGGCTTCGCAGGTGATATGGGATGACAGAGGGTTGGGGGCTTTCATAGGATACACGCATCTTTACTTGGTTAGTGTTCCCCGAATTTGGTCGACAATACACTGCACTCGATGACAATGTGGACGACAGATTTCAGTAGGGAGGGTAACTTCTTGTCACCCGTTCTCGAAGAGGTAGAGGGTGTAGATGGTGCGAGAGATAACCATCTGAGCCCTTGTACCTGTGCGGGGGAAGGGTCGTGTGTAGTGGGTGCTGATTCATAGCACTTTCGGATGGCATTTGGGGTGGTGGCTAGTTGGAAGACGCGTCACGGGAAGATGAATGACAAGGAGAAAGTTAGGGAACACAAGCAACACACCAGGAAGTGGCAAAAGGGACACATGTAGTATACGCCCTGTATTGACATGTAGCCTGATCCAAGGAGCGGACGTGAAATGCAATAACTTCCTGTGCTTTCACAAACATGTACCCTGCATTAGCTCGCAAAAGGCTCATTCCACATATGCGACTTCCTAATTCCAAAAGATTGAAGGATACGAAACAGCAAGACATGTACATACTTACCAGCTTCTTCTCGTCACTGACTCGTGTCCCCCAGAATACGACCCCGACATTTTCCTCGTTCACTCCTTCCATAGCGACCGTCGACGGCGAGGCGGCGTGCTTCGTCAAAGACGACAAGGATCGAAAGCCTGCCAACGCAAATCGATTATATCTCAAGGTGTCAGTCTACGTGAACTTTTATAAGCCACGCACATTCCTTTTCAAAGTCGAAGGATAACACAATTTCGGCGTGCAGAGCAAAGTTGATCTCTATGCAGAGGTGTACGCAGCGCGTCGGATCGCATCCAAAGGTAGTTTAACTGTCTCTTCCGAGTCACCGATTGAAGATCCTGCTGCAGTGCTGCCTGGAGTCATCAGCCACGGCATACCAAATAGTCCTGTTTCGTTGCCGTCCATAGAAGTGAGTACTAAGCAAGTTGAAATGTTCAACACTCGAGTAAAATTTGTTCGGTTCGATGTCAATCTTGAGGTCATGTAGTCGGAGACGCTGTACTACTAGTCTACCGGCTACATGGGTGTATATTGAATGGTAAAACTTTTTTCATGAAACAAGTGCTGGGTCAGACGCGGCAAGACAAGACTTCTAACGGCAATATTGTCAACGCAGTGTGACAAAAGATAGACATTCAAAACACTCACCGAATAACTAATAATGTAGTATCGGAGGCAATGGATTTTCGTCTCCCTAGTACTTTGGTCATCGATGTCAATTCTGTAGTAATAAAGATAATCGTCCAATTGATAATCGGTAAGGTTCGTGAAGTCGTTGTTCGTGCGTAAAGGCGGCAATTCAAACTATCGAGAACGCGTCATTAATGTGAACAAGAGACGATAAACATACTAACGTGCTCCGGGTCTTGAGCTCCAAAGTCCCACGAGATCGGAATCTGGTGGTACAACTGTAAGTCGTTAAAAGGATGTTTCTTGTCATATTGTTAACATGAGCAGTGGTTATCAAAGTATCGAAATTATCATACCCAGTGCGTGCTTTCAACCGATGACCGCTCGGGGTAGCTGGACCTCTGTCGACGCTCACTTACTTGGGAATCAGAGTCAAGTCGTTGCTCCAGAGGGTGAATCCTGGAATTATCCATCACCCGAACCAGTGTTTCATTCATCTGGTCCAGCTTTCTATGGATAGATTCAACGGGATCCGAGATGACATGATTTCCACCTGTCCCAACCGTGGCTGCGCTGCACACCTTGTGTAGATACAGCTGCGCTTTCGCAAGGTCGTCAACAGTGGCCACACAGTAGTCCCTGCACAGTTTTCTCTTGAATGCTATGGGCGTTTTATGTATTTAGCAGCTCAGGCCACCACTGCGGAACACAACTTACAGGGGGGGCTAAAAAACTCCTTCACCTTCTCAAGGAGGACAATTGCATGTACAATGTCTTGACTGGTTGGTGGATCTGAAGGAGGCAATGGTCGCTGGATTTGGGATAACGACTTTGAGAAGAGTGGTACTTGGATCGACATTGTCACTAAGAGAAGATTCAACTTGAAGGTTAGGAGGTTATATACACTGCATATATGGGCCTCCTATCGTATACTAGTAGGAGCAAATGGTCCTGCTTACGTGTTGCCCAAAGAACCCTAAAAGCTGCTGGTAATTTCGGGAGCGTATGCATGATCTATTACTGAAGTAATAAGTGGTGCGGTACTGTAAGTAGCTATTCCCTCTAAATAGTAACGCGAGATCGTACGTTCTCACGTTACTTAGATGGTGTCACTCAGGTGCTCGTGCGCCACATCGCTTTAAATATTGTCCTGAGCAAGTCCTGAGCTCGCTGGATGTTGTGCCAGTCTAACCCTGATCTGTTAACCACCGACGCACCACAACATGAACATGTTTCTGCTTGGGAGCGCAGTACCAAATTGCCGTATGATCCATTCGCATCCGCTGCGGTTCTCACACACAAATCTATCAAGTGCCCTTACTGTTACCAGACTATCCTTTCGCATATGTCCTTTGTGCCTCATGGGAATTCATTCAAACAGTGAGCCGTAGCGTTTTTGCAGCCTAACGGGACCCAGAACGACCTTCGCATCGAATGTGAATGTGCTCGGCCGATTACCAAAGAAGTTCTCGGCCTTCACAAGTTTGCAAAAAACATCGCAGAACCAACAGCGTCTGACACATATTTGGCGTGGGTGTCGCCTCGCTGATCATCTTGTACAACATCTAATGTAATTTCTTCATACACCCCATAGCACCTATGACATCGTGCGCGGAGACACGATCAAGAAGCGTGTCCTCGACTCAAATACCATTTTCCGGAAGAACGAGGCAAGTGATCGCGCGCGCCAGATCTTGATAAACGTCCAGTATGACACTGCGCGCATGCGTACCGTGCTGAACAAGCATTTAAAAGCCAAGATTATATGTCCTATTTTTGTTGCAATGTATATGTTTTTTCTAATTGAGGGACAGGTCGAATAGGATGATGGGTGCCTACGCGGACGACAGGGTGTTCTCACTCGAATTGGTCAGCGCTGTGAGTACATCCTTGAAGTCTGATCGTATTCAAGGACTAAGGTATTATTCTTCTATCCTGAAGCTGCCATTGCCTCGCACACAGTTCACCTCAAAACTTCACTCGATAGTTGGCAAAATATGCCAGGAGATACTGTCACGGACACGCAAGGAAAAGGATACTGGCGGCGCTGAGCAGGGGGACAAATCGTGTTTGGGTTTGCTCTGTGAGTCTTGTCGTTCATTTGCAAAATTGTAAATCTTAAAATTTATGTGTAGTGAAAGCGGAGGGATCTGGTGAGAGCGCGGGAGTGACTCCACAAGAAGTACTGGACGAGGTACACGAATAATAGAACTCATCTGAATGATGGGATGTTGATCTCCGTCTCCGCCAGGCAAGGGTCCTTCTTCTCGCCTGTTTTGAGACCACTTCGGGTAATGTGCATTCATCTAGCAAGAGAATTATACATTCACCATTATTCGCATACGATCAGTAAGCATGACAGTAAATTTCAAACCGTTCACAACTCCAACCGTGTTTCTTAACTCCACAGTGGGCTTTAGTAGAACTTGCGCAGAATTCAGACATACAAAAGAAGCTTCGCGACGAGTGCTTAGAGGTTGGGCCAACCCCCTCATATGACGACCTTATGAATAAGCTTCCCTATCTGGACGCTGTGGTAAACGAAGTTCTTCGCCTCCACGCACCAGTCAAAGAGATCCCGTGATCAGTGCGTATCCGACTCAAAGCAACGTACCGTCATTTGATGACATTCAGCGATGGAGCGCGGATGTCGTCTCAGGCTCACCTTGACCAAGGACTGGTCCAAACTCAAACGAAGCATAGATTTGGAAGTGGACTGAGGATATCGTCAGCCGCAGGAAACTTTATAAGGGGATGGGGATCACTAACACCTCAGCCATTTCTCGTCATGAGTTGGATCATCCCATTACCACAACTGTCACCGTCACAAAGACATCGAGAAATACGTGTCCTGCCATCAAGTCCTGCAACAGAGGAAGACATCTTCCGAGCTGTGAATCTTCTTTATCGACTCCTGGAGCTCCGACGCTATGCTGACGCTTCTTCACGTATGTTGCACCCTATTTTGCAACACTTAGTACTAGTGACTGACTTTCACTGAAGCTGCTCCGACAATCACTGATGTCGTGCAGGCTCAGTGCTATGTTCATCGGCTAACGAACAGCCTTTTCATTGAAGACCTCAACGGTCCTCCAGGCTCGCCAGGCTCCACCGGTCGTACTGGCCCCACTGGTGACACCGGCCCCCGAGGCCCTCCTGGCCCCCGAGGTCGCCCTGGCCCTCGAGGCCCTGCTGGTCTGAGTGTCCCCCAATCCCTCACTGCCACTGCCCCCCCAGTCTCCCAACGCCCGACCCCCCGACGCCTCACTCCCCCCCCCCAGTCCCCCAACGCCCCACCCCCCGACGCCTCACTCCCCCCCACCTCCGGTCCCCCAGCGCCTCACCCCCCAACGCCTCACCTCCCCCCCGTCCCCCAACACCCCATAGACCACTGTAAGGCTGAGTGTGAGTTCGACAGGGAATTAAACGAAATGGGGTAGAAATGAGACGACAGAAACGAGAGATGAGACGCTTGAGACGGACATGTTCTAGAAGGCTTTCTGAAGTGCTTGGAGCGGGGATCTAAGGATAGAATTCGCTATAGGTACGAGTGTACATGAGCGGTATATATACGTTTTCGAGTACTTGACTAGGCTGGAACAAGAATAAGGAGCATATGGTCAACTAGTATTCTTCTAGTATCCATATTACTCAGTCTACGAGAACAGTTTCTTGTATGACTTCTTCTCCCTCTCCCTTTTTTCCTTCTTCTTCTGCCTCACTTTCGCGAGTTCTCCCAGGATCGCCGGGTCTTCGGGTGCAAGCTGACTAGCAGCAACAAGATCTGCTTCAGCTTCGTCTTCCTGCTTCAGAATTACATGCGCTGACGCCCTACGATAAAGGGCCTTGGCTTTATCTGGGTTACTCAGCTGCAGACGATCCAAAGCTCGCGTGGTATTCTTCACCGCAGTTTCGGTCGCTGCTGGTTGTGTGCGTAGCGCAGCGAGTGCCGAGTTTAATAAGAGGGGTGCAAGAAGCGATTCATAAGAGTCCTTAAGCTCCGGCGAAGAGTTTTCCGGCAATTCGGGATGGACGTCTAGGTATCTTATCGATTCTAACATCTTGTTAACAATGCAGGCGAGAGATGTTGGCGGGATTGCTCACTGAGGTACGCTTTGAGTGCGAGTTCTATTTGCCCATCCTTGAAGAGCTTGTTACCGAGCTCACGGATTTTACGCGCAATATCAAGCGCAACTTCGGGGTTCTGCACATCGGAATCGTCGTCTTCAGGGTAGTCCTCGTAGCCGTCACCAACAGTCGTCTCGGAAGTCACGAGGGAGGGGTCATCCGGTGAGAGAACGCCGCAAGCAGATATAACGATAGGGGAAGTGGGAACATCTCCGGACCCAGTCGGGAAATTTTCAATTGTACGGACTACGCATAGCACGGTAAGCAACTCGTGGAAAAGGAAGATAGGCGCTTGAGTAATATATCATACCTATTGATTTGCCCTTGATCACTTCACCGAAAACCACGTGCTTGCCATCAAGATGGGATGTTGGATTCACGGTGATGAAGAATTGCGAGCCATTGGTGTCTTTTCCTGCATTTGCCTGAGAAGTAGATTAAAACCACTCTGCTGAATAGAAACTGAGGGAATTCTACCATGGACAGTAAGAAAGGTTTCGTGTGTTTCACGAGGAACGCCTCGTCTTCGAATTTCTCGCCGTAGATTGATTCCCCCCCAGTGCCTATGTAGACGATGAGTTTGTGACATTTGGATGTAGCTTTAGGACGCACCATTGCCCGCCGTGAAGTCACCACCCTGACACATGAACCTGATCCACTGCGTTAACCTTCATTGTAATATCAGGTGAAAGCTCCTACCCTTTGATTACGCGGTGAAAGCCAGATCCAGCGTAACAAAGAGGTTTGCCAGACTTTCCAATACCCTTTTCACCCGTACATAATGCACCTAGAAACGTCAAGACCATGACGCGATTGACAGAGTATCTGAGAACTCACGAAAGTTTTCAGCTGTCTTGGGCACCGAGTCCGCGTATAGCGAGAATACGATACGCCCAGTGGGTTTGCCACCGATAGTGATATCAAAGTAAGCGATGGGGCGCTCTGCAGGTGTTTCAGACATGTTGCGCTCGATGGCAAACAAGAACGATCAGGATTCAGTAGGGTTTTTGCACAGCGCTTGTGGACGAGGGTTATAGCGGGCCGGGTGCTGTAAGAGTGACGAACAAGTGTTTCTGGCAGTTTCGAGAACTGTCCATATGAGATCTGAGTCGATGGCGGCTATCGCATATGATCACATCAATTTGCCATCGATACTTTCAACTTTTTCTGCTAGTGTCAAGGCAAGTTCAGAACATGGCCGCATTCTACAGATGCCATTCATACAAGTGGCACAGTTCCTATGTAACTCACGCGTTTCCTAGAACGTCTGGTTCGAGAATATTGTGCATGATCAAGATGGCGCCAACTCTGTCGAAAATTGATCCAATCAGCAGCGTACATGTCACGGTGCAGTGACACGAGGACAAGTGACCATTGAAAGAAAAGGCACGTGCGTTGTTGGCTCACTGACCTGGTATCGTCCCTCCACTAAGCCATTATACATGACAATATATGCAGAGCATGTTCTTTATTTTCATCTTTAAAACGACGTACTAGTAAAGGCTCAGCGCTCAGCATCAACGTAACGCACCCAAAGGAGTCCGAACCAGTTTTCTGGTGTGCTTTATGTGCTGCGACTTCGGACGGGCATTTAAAGGGTTTCAGCTCCCGGGTACTAGCAATACAGACAATTACCTCCGACTATCCTCAGCTAACCGAGCCTCTTACATTATTTCTACTTGAATCTGATGACCTTCAACTTCAACTGGCGTCCAATGTCACGGTCGCGTTTGCGAGGCCTCAATCGTGGAACTTTAAGACGGTCTAGTCAAAGGACACTTCATTAGTGTTCAATTTGTCAAGGTAGAATCCTGCTCCAGTACACATCTCATGCAGTGTTGAAGTTTAATCAATCACAGGCCTATTTTGACAGAATCGAGGAAATTAATTTAAAGGGTCCCGCGTTACATGCGGTCATCCAGAGTCGAGGCTAATCCAATAGCCTTATCACAAGCTGCAGCCCTTGATGATGAACGGAAAGACAAAGGCGACCGCGGGCCATTGCACGGAATACCATCATTGTTGAAAGATAGCGTTGTTACGCTGCACGAAGAAGGTGTGCTTTTCTGTGTTATACATGTACATGCAGTGCTAATAAATCCGTGACTCGATCCGGATAAGGAATGGACACGATCGCAGGTACATTCTGTGCTACTGCCTTCCATTTTGCACATCACAGCTCTTGGGACCATTCTAGGTTCCTACGCCCTGCTGGCTTCTGTCGTTCCTTGGCATGTACTTGATGCAGCGAAATCTGGCTGGGCCTGATCCTCGAGATGAAATTACTTTATATTAGCCCGGACTAGTCCCAGACTACATGAAAGCTCGACACAAACGCCCTCAAAGGCGCTCGTTCTGGAATGCCTCGTTCTTCATCTGCGATATCAAGATAATCGAAGAGGCGTTCAACTCATCTCTTGACATCGTCCGAGCTTTGGGCGCGAAAATCGTCGACCCCACAGATTTCTTGGATACAGAAGAATTATCGACATCAAAGGCGGAGAAGCGGCTACTGGACGTGGACCTACCCTTTAACAAGCGCCTATCGGAACTTGTCGACGTTCCGACGGGCATCAAGACTCTCGCTGCCCTGATAGAATTCAACGAGAAACGCAATATGTTTTTACGAAGGATATTTAAACGGAAGCCGTGATGACGCCTACCTTTCAGTGCTAGCCGAAGATTTCGACTTGGGACGCACGGGAGGAATTGACGCTGCTCTGGCCCAGTTCAATCTCGATGCTATAGTTCCACCAACCGGTGGACATGCGTCAACTGCAGCAATCACGTGGTATCAGTTAATTTCAGGCTAGCATGGAGTCCTTTGGAGTCAGTGACCCTATATTGAAAATGTTTCGTCTTTCCCAATTTTTTGTCACGTTCTACTGGTCACCACCGCTTCTAAGCGAGCACGCCTCAATCTATCCTCGCAGCACATGCTGACAACATATACTAGAACAATCAAGCATCGAACTAGTTCCAGTATACCTCGCACGTATCCATGTGTGGTATTGATAGCTCTTTTTCGGGGACTCAAAAAAGCAGCCTCGTGCCATTTTGAAACCGCAGTGAGTGCTTTCACTGATATGCCATGGGCCATGATAGTCTGGGGATATTTTTGGCCGTGGACCAAACATGTGTATGCATGTGAGACTCGGAACTGATGGATCTTGTTTTTGTATTGGCTACTGGTACAAGATCTCTACCAACTTTTGATTCCCTGTACACCACCGAAGCCATTCTCGAGGCGGCTTCTCCTATGGAAGAGGTCAAAAATAGTTCAATGCCTTTATCGACGCTGTTCGCACGAATGACATAACTTCAACTGTCGATATCTTCCACGAAGTGGGTTCCTGGGAGAGCTGTCGTTGTGCCATTTCTTGGAACCTTCGCAGACTAGGAGGCAAAAACGATGCCAGGCACTTCCTGGCGCACGAATCGAGACGAATAAATCTCCAATTGAGCGAGGCGCGCAAAACGCCCGCTCATGTCGTACCGCGTTCAGACCACCTAGCGTTTATTCGTTTCAGTTTCACCTTTGAGGCACCTCATGGGAAAGGTAGCGGGGTTTGCTATCTAATCCCAAGTGGACCGGGCCCCCCAAGTGTCCTGGAAAGCACATGCTCTGTTGACACATTGATACGCTGAAAGTATTTCTGATATAGGTGTTGGTTCAAACGTATTGCCCCCTGTGTGCATGCCTGTTGATGTACGTTTACATTCTTTCAAGGCCGGCATCTTTCGCAGTCATACGATTTTCAACGGAGCCCGGGAAGAGAAACGAAGAAATGAGTTGGATCTTCCTAGCAGCGATCCGGAGATCGGCGTGTTATTGGAGCTACATAGTCAGTGCGGTTTGCAAATCGTTGCACATCTGAAATACAGTCCGCCTTGGTGATCGAATGTAATGCGCGGGTGGGAGACAATGCACGTCTCTTCAAAACTTCACTCTCGATCTCGTTCAACTTCACGTGTCCCTTTCACCGAAGAACTCGACGCAGATCATCATCTTGCACAATTCAATCAGTGCGTCATTTGTTGGGTTCAGGGTCATTTTGTTCACCCTGTGGTATAGATCTTAATCACACGGCTTATTTAAGGTTCGCTAGCTCATTCTTTTGCTCATTTTACACGCAGATTCCCCTTCACTCGGCCATGTTTCAGCCCTGCATCCAAAGTAAGTCCCACAGCAAGCTTTATGAAAAGTTCATTGAATTCCATTTCCATTTTCAATTGTTTTGAAGGCTACGCTCACTTCTTGGACATGATCGTCTAGCCATCGTCAAGTAATCTTGGGAAACAGTCTATGATGACGTCACAAAATCTTGGGATGTGGTCATTGATCGTGAAGAAATGTCACATCTCTCAAAGGTCAAGCACATCGTCCTTGCGCCTGGTCACAGCGGCAGCATCCCCCGATCCCTATATCTTGATCTTGGTGTGAAGGTATAGTGATACTTGTCTATCGAAGGAATAATGTCCCTACTTTCAGTGCATGGTTTCCTATGGTGTCATGCTGAGTCTGTGCAACCATGACGTTGATGTGACCATGTCAGTTTAGTTCTCCTTCCAGTATTTGCTCACATTTACCCCAAGCAACATATACAAAGTTCTTCCACATTTGTTGTGTCACGCCATGCGCAAGCAGCTGTACATGCAGGTAGACATCATTCACGTTCTCAGCCCACCACAATTATTCACTACAAGAATAGTCAATTACATCCCGAATCTGGCCCCTGAGGATGTCTGTCTTAGCGCTTGGTTTTGGAACGCGGCGAAGGTTTATATATCAGTAAGTTCTCGTATTCCTAGAGTGGCAGAAAAAATTAAATATTTCCCCGCGGACACTGGCATCAAGCTAATTGGGTTGGGCACTTCACCACATGTGGCCTGGTATTAAATGGTGGAACGGAGCTTCAAGCCGACGCAGTCACCCCTGACACGGGGTATGTGCGTTGTTCTACCGGAGGCGGAGGTAATTTGCAGCTTTAGCAACCTGCATGATAGCGTGAGGTTGATGTGCGACAATGAAGTTGCGCAGAGAGGCGGGCCCTTATTTGGGTTGGACGATGAAGGCGGACAACGTGGTGTCTGGAAGCATAGCGGACACGAGGGTCTTTGAGTTGCGGCCGGTACGCGACCTCATTAATAAGGAAACGATTTTGCATGCTAACGAGCCCCAGGAAGCCTATCACGAGCACGCTTTCGAAGCATGCGCTCAGCCTTACATGAGCTACACTCTGAGCGTCATATGGCTTCTCGCCCACGATCTAGCAGAGATTAAAGCGCGCTTGAGGGGCTTATTCAGGCGAGAAGAACTTATCTTTTAGGTTAGGTTCGTGGGGTGATCGTCATCGGGTAAGCGCAATCTGGGGCAACATTCAACCCCAAACCCTATGATACTTCACATCTCAAGTTGACATGGCTCCGTGTCGTGTGTGGCTTTGTATGTGTTCGTGATTGATCGTGTCCATTCCGTAATTCAAAATTATCGTGAGCAGGGCACAGACTAGTTAAGTACCACTTGGTGTTTTAATTTCCCATTTAGAAACTACTACTAAATATGATCATTCTCATGATGCGGCGGTACTAGCGGACAAAAAGGACTAGATGACGCCGCCAGGGATCCTCGTGATCTATAAACGTGTCGTGGCGGCGACATGGTAAGGGCTGATAAGACAGTGCCGCGCAGCATCCTTCACGACGAGCCTGAACAGATTCTTAAGATTAATGTCCTGCAGGCGTTGAGGTCATGGTGTTGATCGACGGAAAGGTGGACGTAACTGAGGAAGCGAAGAAGATGCCGTGGGAATAGAAAATGCATATGTATTTCCGAAATGAATTACGTCTGCCCCAAAAGTAAATTGAGAATTATTATTATAAGAAACCATGTTGAATATCAATTTGAGCTGTGCTCGGTCCTGTTAGCCAGCCAGTCTAGTGCCTTGCCCAGCACGTCCTTTTCTTTCTCGTTCTTCGTGGTCTCAATCTCCGTGCTTTTCTTTTAACAAGTAGGGTGTACTCCCTTGACTGCTTCTCACTATGAGCGTCCTTGTACCCACCAAATTTCCTAGCGTCGCTGCCATCATGCTTGCCTGCATTGCATCTTTAGTTTGTCTGTTGCTTGCACGCATATTGTATTCCTTTATGCGTCTCTGGTCTTGCCATTCTCTATCAACAGCGGCCGACGAGAAGACCCCTACTTGGTCCTCTTTGTTGTCGCTAACCAACACATGGAGTCGGTCTTTGCAGCGCGCTCTCCCAGCGTCACTACCCTTTTCGTTGACCATCCCGGAGAAACCATCACCTGAAGTTGGCACAGGAGCAGGCGTAGGACTTTCGCATAAAGCTCTTGAATCCCTCCCCGGCAACTGGCAACTGTGTCGACCAGCTCCTCAATTCCAGCCACCACGTGAGCCAGGAATTTCTATCGGTTTCTATGCTCCATACTTACCTATTGTATCATAGCACCGGCTGTGTACCAAAATCCTGCGCCTCTCTCCATGGCAAAGCTGATAATGTCACGACACGTATGCAGTGCCTCCTCACTTGGTAGTTACGATCACTGACGCTTTGTGCAATTCAGACCTTTCGGCGCCCTAATCCAAACCGGCCACGGAGATTGTCTACTGCATCCTCATCCCGTCCGCCACAGCCCACCTCCCAGCTGTTCCACTCCATAGCATAAACCCAAATAGTATTTCATTCCCGCGCCAAAATAACACCGCATTTCAGGGCGTATGGATGAGCTATCCTGGCTGGAAATAAATTATAGCCCACCCACGCTAATCCACGAACAAATCTCAACGGACAGGTCATTCTGATGATATACCACGGCACCCACGTGTTTATTTATGATTGGACTTACGTAATCGAGGCAAAAACGAACTGACAAACGGCTTTTGACTTCTATGTACACACTGGACATACTTTCGAACTTTGCTTTGCTTATACTTTTTTATTCTTTCGATCCTTTTATCATTTACTATCATTTAGTCCTTGTTCCGTGAACATACCATTATCATTACATAGACGGCTCGCCGTTTGTCGAGGATCCGTACTTATCCCATATGCCAACCAAAAGAACATATGTTTTTGCGTTTTCCGACTCCCGAGCCACACATCGAGTCAGATGTCCTACACCTTGATCTCTCGATTCTGTCGGCCTATTGGATCTGGACAGATGCATATGTGTGAACATCGATCATACATGCACTCAGCGCTCAGCCACCGATGACCATCCGCTGCATCAATGATGATCAGTGTTGAAACGTTGACCCGAGGTTCGCGCAAGCCGCACAATAAACATATGGATCGATACATGCCTGTGCGGCGTGCCAAGGCAGCTTACAAGACTACAGCGGTGTAGTCTCTATCACATCATGATATAGTCCTAGACTCCTGCTAGTAGATCCATGGAAGTACCAGTGACAGGTCACGGTAGTGCCAACTCCCAGACTCCCAGCAATACCTTTCTTATAATACTTTTGGTCTCGCCGCTGGGCGCCGCATCGAGGCCTATCTCTCAAGTACCTCGTGACTATGAGTCAAATTTATCTCTAGTTCGCGGTCCGTATGGTAGAGAAGTCTGAGTCCTTTATCAGGAAAAGTAGTTCAGCTTGTCTGGGCCCAACCCGTTTGTCACCTCTCTAGATCTCTTGGCGCCTGCCGTGCATAATGCCTGGAGACATGCTCAGCCGCAGTGTCACGGTCCTCTCGGAGAACGTGTTCCCTGATTTGTATGAATCTGGAATTCTCGACCTTCAGAAGGGTCTTGAGCTGGGGCACTTTACGAGCGTTGATCTCGTTAAGGTGAGTTACTATCAATCAAAACTGGTTCATTTCATGACGACTCACGCTAATACAGGCTTATCTTGCAAGGATTGATGAGGTCAATCTGAAGGGCGCAGCTCTCCATGCAGTCCTCGAGACGAACCCGAACGCTTTATCTCAGGCTGCAAAACTTGATGACGAGCGCAAGTCTAAAGGGAGCAGAGGCCCACTGCACGGCATCCCTTTGTTATTGAAAGACAACATTGCTACACTGCATGAAGAAGGTACGTAACTGTAACGATGCATGTTCAGGATGCTGATCCTCCTGAAGGCATGAATACTACCGCTGGTACGATATCCAAGAACTTCTAGTTCTAGGTTAAATGTTTGGCGAGATTAGGCTCCTATGCTCTCCTGGGTTCGGTCGTTCCCAGAGACGCATTCGTCGCTGCTAAGCTCCGCGAAGCCGGCGCCATCCTTCTTGGAAAGGCGAACCTCTCTGAATGGGCAAACTATCGCGGAAAGGTTCCCAACGGCTTCTCAGGTCGTGGAGGTCAGACTCTTTGTCCCTATTACCCGAACGGGGATGCATCTGGATCGAGTTCTGGGAGTGGGGTTGCGATGGCCGTCGGTCTTGCTGCTGGCTCTCTGGGCTCGGAAACGGATGGTTCCATTGTTTCACCAAGCAGCAAGAACAATGTGGTAGGCATTAAGCCCACTATAGGGTTGGTTTCTCGAGCTGGAGGTATCTACTTTTATCAATCACACCTTGACAGTTGGTTGATTCTCTTCAGTTGTACCTATCTCATCACATCAAGATACAGCTGGACCTATGTGTAGGTCAGTTACAGACGCGGCCCTTCTGCTTTCCGTTATAGCAGGACCAGATCCTCGAGACACGGTCACGTTGTACCAACCTGGTGTTCTCCCTGACTACATGAAAGCGCTCGATCCGAACGCTTTGAAAGGCAAGCGACTGGGAGTGCCGCGGATATTCCTGCGCGACAATAAAGCAATTCTGGAAGCTTTCAACGCTTCTTTAGACACCTTCCGGGCTCTCGGCGCGGAGATCGTAGATCCGGCTGATTTCCCCTGTGCCGAGGAGATGAAGGAGTCACAGGCAGAAACACTCGTGCTGAAGACAGACTTCAAGGCTGATGTGGCCGAGTATATTTCGGGGTTACTTGAGGTTCTTACTGGCGTAAAGAACCTCGCAGATTTGATCGAGTTCAACAATACCCACGCAGACTTAGAGCTTATACCACCATACCACGACGATCAATCTAGGTGGGTTCACGAGCCGGTGGTGCTATGGGGTTGCTTATTCTGCTACAAGGTTTATTGCTGCTGAAGCGACGGAAAAGAACGATGCGTATTATGCAGCTTTAGCTGAAGATTTCGATTTAGGCCGGAGACGAGGCATTGATGCAACTCTCCAAAAGTTCAAATTGGACGCAATCATTCTTCCTACTGATGGTACGTACGATCATGTGCTTGCGTCAATTTTGAGACCTCAAACTTCTTTAGGGACTGCCTCGAAACCTGCAGCGATTTCCGGCTACCCTATAATCTCAGGTGCGAATGCCCATTTTCATGACGGCTCATTTGACCAAATCGAATGCTTAGTTCCGCTGGGCTTCCAGCCAGATAATGTCGAGATATTGCCAGTTCCCGCTGCACCACTGCACACACAAGCTCCAGGCCTTCCGTTTGGGATAGCCTTCATAGGCACCGCATACAGCGAATTCAATCTTATTGGCTTCGCTTATGCGTTTGAACAGGCTACGCAGGTCCGTTTGAAGAGAAGGGCCTATGCTGAAGCAATTCCCACGACGCAGATTAAGGATGTGCTCTCTATTTGAACAAGGAAGGAATATATGACTGGCGCGTACAACAATTATGTACTTTTTTTCTAACCATACTTGGATTCATCGTGAAACTGTTCCAGGTCTTGTATACAGTCGAATGAGCACGAGGCGTCACATCAGTGGTAGTCCGTGGAATAGATTTCAAATTGAAGTTAAGCGCAAACATCATGAATTACAGGATTCATCAAGCCCGCGTCAACCCGAGGAGACGCCTGAAATTAGCCATCCGAGTCCCATGCCATGCCACCTGAATCTGTATTAATATTGCACATGGGGAAATGTCGTGACGGGGCCCGTAAAGACTTCACCGAGACTTGCAGATGCGATTCACGATCCGAGTCGAGGAGTCATCGACATCTTTATATTTGGCTTCCAGATCACCATATGTTGAATTATCGCCGGGGATCAGAGGCGTCCCCCGAACTCGATCAAATCTAGACCACACTGTGGCAGTGAGTCGTCGTGGATCACGCATCTCGTTCGGCGGTTCGTGCAAACCATTCCTCGAGTCGATCGCAGCTGAAAGTATAAGATACTGTGGCGAACTTCAAGTTGACGGCATTGCATCCTTTATATATCAGGAGCATAAGACGAAGAGAATGCACAGGAAAGTACTAAATTTTGCCATTAGGGTTATAATAATTACGATTAGCGATTCACAAGCCTACATAACGAGTCATGGTAAGCAATTGCGACCGGCTCGAGGGCCACACTTACAATGTGATTGGTGTCATCCACAATAATCAAAGTCTGAGTGGCGGTCTGAGTATTTCATCCCCAAATAGCTGCACAGTTGTAGTTAGCTACGCAGCGCACCAGAAAATCTGCCTGATCTTCACATGGGTGAGAACGAAACTTGATAATCGTTTAGCAGTCGCTATCGCCCACTGTCAAAGGTGCTCGATATCGGATACCATTATGATAGCTGTTGCCTGGGCTCCTCGTGTCAGTCCTCACACAGAAAGAACGGACGTCTTATTGAAGTCTGACTACAGGAGACGAAGTGCCACCTGATGTATGCCATAACCCCTTCCTAGTGTTTTTCCGTCAATAGAATATTGGGGACTGAGTAAGTCAAATCTGGGGTCTGTCGGCAACCAACTGGCATTGTAAATATCTGTTTAAAGAATCATTTCAGGTGGATAGGTTTTGCCCAAAAAATAAGGATCCAGGACATAAAAGCAAGCGGTCGTCAGCCTACCTTACACGTTAGTTTTATTTTCATAAGCCTAAGCCACAACTCACAAATAATGCGTTTTTCCATTGTCCTCGCCGTTCAATTTGTTGCTCCGTCAGCATCGAAGTCTCTCGGTGCTGAAGGTGACTGTGCTATTCCTTCCGGCTCAACTGCATATTAAGTACTGTGAAGGCAATGTAAGCGAGAATGTATACGACAACCAATTCAAGTTGAAGGTGACATAAGCACTACTCACTGGCGTGGTAGTCTGTGCATGTGTTTATGTGCGTGGTTCAGTGAGCTACAGGATTGCAGTTGTAAGCGATTCCTAGAACCCAAATAACAGATATTCCAGTGAGATTGGTTTGTACACTATATACACTTTCGCGGTAAGGGAACATGCGAATTACTGATGCAGCCCTCGATCTTCTGGCAGATGGTCTGGCAAGTGTGGCCTCAGCCGCTCGTTGTGAAATAACAATTCGATATTGGCAGAAACACCTTTGACAACTTGAATGATAAAGGTTTCAGCGATAAACACCATGCTGTCCTGCACATATATAGTTCAGCGTCAGCCTATATCACGAGTAATTGTAATATTTCGTAGTGGCCAAAAGTGGTCAAACCTAGTACATCATCATCAGATGCATCAACACGAATCTGGCCTAGAAGCTTACCAGATGTGCTAGGAGCTTTGCGATCTTTGATTATCTCACACCACAGTTAATGCTGCATCCTGCCCCGCCCACCCACGGACCTACTAGCTAATGCCACGGGTTGGTGCTTTCCAAGTGGTAGTGTCGATTATGATTCGATCACTGGGATCGGTTCCAAGGTTTCAAATGAACTGACAGCGATTGCAGTCATTATATTCAAGTTGAACCAACGACTTGCAAGAAGTCGATCACTTTTTTAATCACTCCGTACTCCGAAACGCAATTAGATAGACTGGGATAGCAGCAGTCCCTGAATCACTAGCGATTGCATGAGACCGGTAAAACAGTAGGGGTTTGGTGTGATAATATGGTTCCGTTTGTGATGGAAGCGTTATAAGGAGCACCCGCACTTTAAGGTTTGATAAGTTTACGTATTTCTACAATATCCATTACAAAGCTAATTTTTGTATTGTATTTCGGAGAGCCAAAGTTTTACTGAATCACGGATCCATCGCCGCAACTTCTTCTACGAATTTGGCCCACCGTCTTTCCCATGCATCCATAGCGGTGCGCTTGCTCTGTTCATCTAGCATGGAATACTACCCAGGGAACATAAGACAATGCAAGAGACAAGGTCAAGGGCATGACTCACCGTAATACTGTCACGGGCCATGTGGCCAAGAGCAAGGAGTCCCGTAACTTCACTTGCCACCAATACCTGTGAGCGACTGATGAGTCTGGTTGCAGCAGGAGACAAACAAAGAAGAGGGTCACCTGGAAGAAATCGAAGGACAGCCCCATGCTATTAAACATCGCAGGATCGTCGGAAGACAGTACCACAGGAATGCCTTGGTTCATGATTACCGGGAGGGGGTGCATAGGCATCGATGAGGTAAGACGCTATCGTTCCTTGAGTCAAGGCAAGGCTCCGAGGCAGCATACAAAAAACCTACCAGTACTTCATTTCTATCAAAAGATCAAAATCAATTGAAGGTGTCTACTTGCACGATTCACTCACGATATAGGGCAGACTTCGATTGCTATTTTCTTCTCTCGACAGATTTGCATCAATTTTGGATGCTTAGCGAGTGAAAAGCTATGCAATATGGGTTAGCGAGCGCTTCATATCGTACAATGCACCTAACCCGTGTCCGATTCGCTTCGTTCCAAGAAGAATGGCATCATACAGGTTCATATCCGCTGCTGTGCCATCACCCAGAGTTTCACCAGCATGGAAGATGAATGGGATGTCCGGATGCTGCTCGGCGAAACGCAAAAGTGGCTCTGCGTAATCAATGAGTGGTTTACACTCCGCCCCGTCCTCGTGGCCCACGAGATCAAATCCTGGCAGATAGAACTGTTAGATCTGGGTCTGCCGACTTGCAACAAACCCGCGGGACTTACCAGCAATAAGGTTCGGGAATTCCTGCTTGAATTTGCTGCACTGTTCTAGTTCCAATTCCAATTCCTCGGAGGAGATAATTCTCAGGGTATTGTAGATAATCTAGGAAAAAGATCAGTCTGGGCTTGAGTGCGTTCGCCGAGACCAAGCTAACCTTTAACCCAGCGAAATCGTCTTCCCGACCTTTCGCCTTCAATTCCGCTTTGATTTCGTTCGTGACCTCTTGGAATATCAAGAGTAGTTCGCGTAATTCAAGTTTTGTCTTCGCATCCTCTGCAAGTATATACCTGACGAAAAGTCAGGTATCTCAATCATAGACATGTCTTCCTGACTCACTTTTTGAAAAAACTAGTTCGTACCTCAATATACGAGATGCCATCACTTATTGATGAGCGAATGAACATTCGCAAGTATTCCTTTTGAATCGGCACGAAACGGATAATGGGCTAAGTTTCATCAGAACAGGCGCACATATCGAGTTCCAGTACACAGGCTCACATCAGTCACGCCAAAGGTACTCCCAAACTTCATCCAGATCTGCAAGTCTCGCGTTGAGGACGTGTTCAGCAGGTTGTATATTAACACGGAGCTCACCTTCATCGGTGTATTGTACGTATTGTACGCATCACTGGGATTGATCATAAAGGCGCTGAGCACCCATTTATCAAATCCGGCAGGGCCGCCTAGTGCAGGATCGAACAGCTCTCGCGCCTTCTTGATGGGAACCCAGCCACCGGCGTATAAAACATCCGTGATACCAACTACATCAGTAGCAGGATACTGCTCCACAGGGATTGGTTGGATTGTGGGCAGCACAGTTTCGAGAGAAGCTGCGTCCAACGGACTCGGGACGCGGATATGTATCGCGGGATGGCTCAGTGCTAGATCAAGAAGTGTTTTTGCCTCCACCGAGGCGTTCTGGTGCACATGCAATAGCCCACCCTTTGGCATCTACGGGGAAATTGCGATCGAGATGATCGGTGACGAGTAACACGGTAATTTGCTACGCTTACTTTGGAGACTATTTCATAGAGTTCCGTCTGTAAAATGAGGTCTTTGCCTGTACACAGATGTGAGAAGAAGTACTAAACGCGAACCAAACACCATACCATTCAAAAATTCCATCCCTGGGTATGGGTGAGGGACATGTTCGTGATCAATCCCCCAAACAGTGGTAGCTTCTTTAGCACGGATGGAGCGCACAACTTTATCTGCCTTCAGTTCAGCTGCGGTGTAATTCCAGCGAACATGGTCTGTTCGCAACGCGCGGTCCTCTGCGATAAGTTTCTCACGTCTTTGTAAATAGTCAGCAAGCATTGAGGAGGACATTGGCGAAGAAAAGGATGATGGTAGATTACAGGAATTCGATGGCTTTATAAATGATTTTGCTTGTGGCCCTTGGTGGTGCTGGCCTGGATCAACATCCATTGGCGTATTGTCGATGTCAAGGTGCCTACACACAAAAAAACAATGGCGGGCCATGGAAGGACCCACAGAAGAATAGTGTAATAAACCAATTAGAATTGTGGCTCAAGTGTGCATTGGCCATCTGTTTTAGCACCGCCTTAGTTAATAGTATACGACCTGGTAGCCGGACTGTTCAAATAAGGTTGGAATGTACAGGGGAACCTCAACTTACATGGCCACCATGAGTGGCCCACTGCCAGGACCTGCCGGTGTGCAATAAGATACAGCGAGGAAAGTGTCCCACAGGCCATGATACATCGGGCACAGCAGGCCAGCAATGATAACAGGATCAATGCGTCTAAAAGACTTTCCAGGTAGGCCAACAATGGCAGTGGTAACGTGTCTGCGGTGGAGGTCGCGGAAAATTGAGTCTTCCAAAAAGAAAACAAACAACTAGTATCATTGATGATTGGGTAGACTCGTAGTTAATAATTTGAGTACTTGCATTGATGAGATGTTGTGATCACTGAGTTCTGCTGTAGGGGAGGTACGGAGTTTGAAAATCTGCAGTTGCCGATTGTGCCGCTTTGGGAAAGTCGATGTTATTGTTCAAACTTGAACGACTCGGACAACATGACTACGTTGTAGGTGAGGTCACACTCCGCGTTGTACACATGCACACGCACATATGCAACAATAGATTGATCCTGATAAGGAATGACTACTGAGTACTACTGCAGGTACATCTCGCCCTCATGGCTACATCCCAAAATCTTTGTGGCTCCGTTCTTGGTTCCTACGCATTGCCGAGTCCTGTTGTTTCTCGAGACGCATTTGCTACAATAGCAAAATTACGTATAGGCTGGTGCGAGGCCTATTCCACTTCCTCATAGATTCTCAGGGCGTGGGGGCAGACTTGTTGTCCGTACTATCCGAACGCTGATCCGTTTGCTTCGAGTACCGCAAGTGGTGTTGCGATGGTTGTCGGGAGAACAATGTTGTGTGGAGGGGTGTTTGACAGAATGACGCCGAGGGGAAATACCGCCCGTGCAAGTGATGAGAAAAGTGTTTAAAGTCTGAATGCCTCGCTCAATTGGAGAGTCGTGAGGACAGTTGCCTCAAGTCGTGCGTCAAGAGTGCGCTTGATATCATTTTTACCTCCTAGCGTGCGAGACTCATTAACCAAGGACAACAACGTATACCATGAACCCGTTTCGTAGAAGAGGTCGACAATTGAAGCTATACCACTCGTGCGAATCGTACTGGACCACTTGTTGGCGTCTTCTACAGGAGAGGCTGATGGAAGAGTAGTACGTAAACTGTTCGAGTCTGAGGCTCATCTTTGTCGTCCTCAACTTCATGGCCTCCTCATCAAGGACTTGTTCGTCGGGTGCGTGAAAGACGCAGGAAGCACCTTGTGATGATTGCAAAGCAGCTAGTGTCTGGAACATGTTCATCCAACGGGGAAAGGGGCCCACTGCTGTACTGATGCTTCTGGTCTGTAACATTGCTGGTGTGCTGCTGCCTGAGGCACTAGCATGGTGCGAGGAAATATCAGCACCACGAGATGGATGTCGAAAGGTTAAGAAAACCTACATATTTGCTTTGTGTTGCGAAGACGTCTACAAGGGGAATCCTGTATGGGCGAGAAGGATGGCCGTGGGGAGCAGGTGAGTGAGAAAAGAGACGAGCTACCATATTCTTGATTCTGGAGCCTTTGGCGTGGCGCGTGGTAGTAGCAGCCGTCTTCTTACCACACGTAAGTAGTTTGTTGCGGAGAATTGGCGTAAATGTTTGCTTCTGAACAAATTTTACTGCTGCTCAAGCTTCAAGCAATAACGATTTTAGGCTAAAGAGATATCTCAAAACCTTGAACATGACTTGAGAGTGTGAGTCTATCATTAGACTCACGGTAAGCTCGAACATCAGTATCGTATGACAGTGTATTGTTAAAGCCGCTTTCACAGCTGGGACATAACGTCCGTTAATTGGGTTCTAGGAATCGCATCTTCGTAGGCCTTTCTCTGAAGTCTCACATGGGTAGCCTGCTCAAACGCATATGCATAGCCAATGAGCTTGAACTCGCTATACGCAGTTCCCATAAAAGCAATTCCAAAAGGAAGTCCCGGGGCTTGCGTATAAACTGATGATGGCGTGACAGGAAGTAACTCGACGTCATCTGGCTGGAATCCGAGGGGCACTAGATATTTAGATGAATTTGAGTAGGGTTGAGATCGCAGCAAGAAGTACTAACCTGAAATCAGCGGATACCCTGCGATTGCCGCGGGTCCTGGTGCATGTTCGGTTGGTAGAATTATAGCATCGAGATTGAACTGGGCCAGAGTGACATCAATTCCTCTCGTGCGTCCCAAGTCGAAATCTTCGGCTAGCGCTGAAAAGTAGGCGTCATCAACTTGAGAGGCTTCCGATTGCTTGAATCTAGATATCCTGGCTAAAAGGATATCGTGTATGAGATTTGAGCCGACATACTGTGATTGGTCATTGTAGAATGGCGGTGGAAGATTCAAGTCCGCGCGTTTCTCGCTGAATTCTATCAGTGCAGCGAGAGTCTTGACGCCTGTCGGAACGTCGACGAGTTCTGAGAGGTATTTGTTAAGATCAACTTTGAAGTCCACGTCCAGTACCCGCTTCTCTGCCTTCGATGTCAGTAGTTCTTCTGTATCCGGGAAATCCGCAGGATCAACGATTTCTGCGCCCAAAGCTCGAAAGACGTCAAGAGATGAGTTAAAGGTCTCCTCGATGACCTTGGTATTGCGGATGAAGGAACGAGGAACTCCAAGACGAGCGCCTTTGAGGGCGTTTTTGTCGAGCGCTTTCATGTAGTCTGGGACTAGTCCGGGCTGACGTAAAGTAACTTCATCTCGAGGATCAGGCCCGGCCATGAAATTCAACAATAGCGCGGCGTCAGTGACAGAACGACACATCGGGCCAAGAGTATCTTGGTGAGATGAGATAGGTATTACTGGGTTCATAATCAGTCAGGGAATCAGAAAGCCACTGCTAGAAACTTTACCGCCTGAACGGGATACCAGCCCGATGGTGGGCTTGATGCCCACAATATTGTTCCTGCTACTTGGAAAGACAATAGAGCCATGAGTGTCTGAGCCAAGCGACCCAGCTGCGAGACCAATGGCCATTGCAACGCCACTTCCGGAGCTCGAAGAAGACGGATGTGCATTCGGGTAGTAGGGAGAAAAAGTTTGTCCCCCACGCTCCGACAAGCCATTGGGAACTTGTCCCTTTAAACGTCCCCACTCGCCCCTCATACCGGACCACTCAGAGAGGTTTGATTTTCCTATAAATATAGCCCCAGCTTCACGTAATTGTGCAGCAGCAAATGCGTCTCGAGGAACGACAGAACCCAGCAGTGCGTAGGAACCTAGGATACCCCCAAAAGCTGTGATCTACAAAATGGCAGGCAGAAGCACATAATGTACCTGCAGTCGTGTTCATTCCTTATCCAAATATCGATTGATTAATACTGCATGTACATATATAACACCAAATCTCACCTTCTTCGTGCAGCGTAGCAATGTTATCTTTCAACAATAATGGTATTCCGTGCAATGGCCCGCGGCCGCCTTTGCCTTTCCGTTCATCGTCAAGAGCTGCAGCTTGTGATAAGGCTATTGGATTAGTCTCGATGACCGCATGTAATGCAGGACCCTTTAAGTTTACTTCCTCGATTCTGTTCAAGTAGGCCTGTGATTGATTAGACGCTGCATCGGATACGTACTGGAACAGTAAGAGTCTACCTTGACAAGCTGAACACTAGTGAAGTGTCTTTTGACTAGACCATCCTGAAGTTCCACGATTGAAGCCTCGTAAAGATCAGGCAAAGCGACACCGGACGCCTTGAAAGTCATCAGATTCGAGTAGAGGAAAGATAAGAGCCAGACCTACTAGGTTCGCTGTTTTGGGAAAATTGTCAAAGATAACTTAACGGACACCCACGACGGTTATGATAAATCCAAATATGAATCCTGGGTAAAGGAATGACTGTCTCAGTTGTCACTGCGTGGGATCTTGAGTTGAGAGGATCGTGAGAACATTTCATGATGACATCAGCGAACGCATGAGTCCTTGAAATTGTAGCCATTGCAACTGTAGGATAATGTAATTCTGCTGTCACCAAATATGACTATAGTGATACTCAAAATAGGTTTTGATAACTCGCTTAACACGCTTAACACACTTTCAACTCTCGGCTAAAAGCATTTCAGAGAGTTCGGCTGTTGAAGGTCAGCCCGGCATGGTACATCAGGAAATCAACCTGGAATTGATATGACCAGGTAGAGCTGACAAATGAAACCCATTATGATACATCTAGCTTTAGGATTATACATTATTATCTTTGCTCAACATGTGTATGAAAAAATATATGATTATGCCAAGGATATATAATCTTGATACATGTCTTGCAAGTATGCAACAAATATATGAGAGATTGTATAACTATGACAGGGGCATCTCATTTTGATGTGCCTTTTACAAGTATCAAGCAAGTATATGAAAGAATATATGACTGTGTCGGGGTCACATAATCTTGATACAAGTCTTGCAAGTATGCAGCAAATATGTGAGAGAATGTATAGCTATGACTGGGGCATCTCATTTTGATGTGCCTTTTACAAGTATCAAGCAAGTATACGAAAGAATATATGACCGTGTCAGGGTCACATAATCTTGACAGGTGTCTTGCAAGTATGCAGCAAATATGCGAGAGAATATATAGCTATGACAGGGGCATCTCATTTTGACTTGCCTTTTACAAGTACCAAGCAAGTATACGAAAGAATATATGACTGTGTCGGGGTCACATAATCTTGATATGCATTTTGCAAATATGCAACAAATATACTAGAGAATGTATAGCTATGACAGGGGCATCTCATTTTGACTTGCCTTTTAATATACAAAAATTGTCTCAAATCGTTCAAATACTCTAAAATACTCCAAGTCCCTTTGCGGATGGGCGAGAATTTGTCAAAGTCTACAAAAATTCAAAAAATGCAGGCAATCTGATTATATTGTTCAAAGTGGTGCACATAGGATAGAACAAATCACAGGACAACAAAATGGCAATGATACAAAGTACCTCTGCTATCGGTATGTATTAATATCCACCTGGGTAAACCCTGGGTGTCGGAAACCTCGCCTGCACCCACACCCGCATGAAGGGTATGGGTTTTTGTACAACGAGCTCGCACTCCTACCCGCACCCATGCAGGGTTTCCCCGCGGGTAATAGTACATATATATAAATATTAAACTAGCAATTCTAAAAATATGAAAAAACAATCCTACACTCACCAACTGCAAACAGTGGGCAACGATCAGCATGGCTTGAACTTGAAGGACGATTGACACAACTCACAGGCTGCGAACAGTGGGCAACAACTTCAATCAGCACAGCTCGAGCTCAAAGGAGGACCAATACACTCACAGACTGGGATGACAAGTCACAAGGTGCTCTAATCCTTCTCCTTCTCTCTCCCTTCTCTCTCCCTTCTGCTCTTTCCATCCTCCTCGTCCTCCCAACTTCTCTCCAGTCCTCTCGCTGTCCCACAATTCATCGAGTCCACGCGATCACATCACTTCATCGTTGGCACTTGCCAGTGTATCGTTGGGTTGAACGCTCGGAGATGGCGTGTGCTGGCGATGGATGGGGGGGCGAGTGGTATGGGGGGTGCGAGTGGTATGGGCGTTGCTAGTGGCACGCAAACACGTGCTGATGGTGTGGGGCACGTTGAGATGGACGCGGTTGCTGTAGCGGTTGCGAATGGCGAAGTGAGGGCTGCGGTTGATGGTGGCAGCATGGGCTGCATAGTCCAAGCTATGCGAGGTGCGAGTGATGGCGATGGTGGTGCGAATGATGGGTGTGCAAGAATAAGCGCCGGTGATGTGGCGTGCATGAATGGCGCGCCCGTGGTACTGGGTACTTCCTGCCGGTTGGAACGTGTGCAGAGAGTCGCGCTGGGTTTGGTGTCACTGGTAGGTGTGCGCTGGCGCGTGTCTGTGGGCTCACCGTGTCCTGCAAACTGTTTCCTGCTTCCAACTTCCCCATTTCTTCCTGCCTTCTGTCCATTCGTCCACTTCCTCTTCCCAACTGCTCCATTCTCCTTCTCCTTGCTCCCATTCGTCGTCTGCGCGTGTCTGAGTCGCATCAACACTTGTTGGTGTGTACCGGACGTGTGCGCTTGGCACTGGGGCTTGCTGGAAGTGGGTGGGCGTGGTGGGCGCTAGTCTTGGTGGTGGTTGTGGCTGAGGTGTGTGTGAGAGGTACAGCGTCCGCTGTGGCTGATGCGGGAGGTGCAGCGATTACTGCCAGATGTGAAGGTGCTGGTGCTGGTGCGATGTGAGCGGAAGTGCGTGGTTCTGAGTGTGAAACGGAACATTGTAAAATGAATACTTGTCAAGGCCGAAATTTTCAAAAACGGAGAAAACTCAGAATGCGAGTGCGGCGAAAGGCAATCAAACCAAACGAAGCGACTTACTTAGTAGAATGTGTGCATAAACGAGCCGAATTGTATTAAAGTCAAGAGGCAAAATGATTAATGCTGATACTGTAGACATAAGGGATGAGAGACTGAGTCGAAATCCGAGAGAACGCGAGAAAAAACCAAGCAGACAAGTAGAGTAGGCGAATCACGAGCTCTCACTCTAGTCACCAGATGGAGAGAGAGCCACACTGGTAGTAGTCAAATAAAAATCATTGAAAAGTAAAACTGGGGGAACTGATGTGTTAATGGGTCCAAAATGACCTTTTACCCTGCCAACGTCCTCCTCAAAGACCTTGTGCCGAAACCGAGTCATTGCCGAAGGTGCCGCGTGGAACTTGCATGAAGACGAGCGTTTCGGGGAATGAATATATACTATTTAAGAATCAGCTCTTTCCTTCATACTTTAACTTATACCAAAATCAATAACATACCTGAAAGCTATGGGTCAGCTGAACACTGTAAGTCACTTAGTGTTTTGTGTTGGTGTTAGTACTCACTGTTTCATCTGAGCGTCTTTCTCGAATCCCAAATTTGAAGCAGAGGGGCAAGCAAGTACAAATGTATCAGCAGGTGGTGATTAGTTTTCGATATGTACGGTGCGTACTACTAATAGTCCATAATTTAATTTTTATTAACTCGATGTACACGATCTAGTGTGAGGATGAGGGAGGGGGAAGATGTGGAAGGCGAGGGGGCGATAGGTGAGGAGGCGATAGGCAAGGAGATGATAGGCAAGGAGACGATGGGAGAGGATGATCAATAACAAAGTATTGTGAGGATCATGCACGGCGGGAGGTAGGAGCATGTAATCGAGACATCTAGGAATAATTTTGAGTTCGTTAGTAATGCATCCAGCTTGTAAGAGCACATGACTAACATGGCTTCATCAAGCACAACGACTCTGTCGTCTTTCACCAACACACGAGCCAGACTGAGCAGAGATCTCTCCCCAATGCTGAGATTCGCTCCCTCCCTCTCAATAGTACTGTCAAGGTCGCAGCGGTTGGTGGGAGCTTGCTCGCTCCCGACGCCATCACTAGAATATGACAGTTTCGAGGTGGTACTAGAATCAAGCAGACAAGATCGATGCAGTGCATCCCATAGCACCGCGTCACTGTGTTGGGAGAATGGATCCAGGTTGGAGTGTATGGTCCCTGGGGATCATTTAGCACTTCGCACAAGAGCACGTAGATCTACGATACTAACCGCTAAATAGAAGGGGCTATCGAGTTCGTACGTTAGTCTTGTGTTAGATCATACAGGGAAACTTTACAGACATCTTGTGGGATAATCGAAATCTTGGAGCGGAGATCTTTAAGACCAAGTGTGGATATATCGACACTAGAAAGGATAAACCAATCAATATTTCGTCACAAGTAATGATCCACGCACCCATCAGTAGTGATTGCACCACCAGACACCTCAACAATTCAAAACAGTGCAAGCATCAAAGAAGATTTGCCAGCACCAGTCCTGAGGGGACATTGCATTAGCATACATAGGTAGATCCAACAAACCAGCTAACCTTCCAATGACGCCTATCTTTTCGCCTCCCCTAATCTTGATGGAGATGCCCTTCAATACGTTGGGAAGGCCCGGCCTGTAAGCCATCTTAACATCGTTGAATTCGACGGCACCATGTTCAGGCCATTGCACCGGGGGCCTTCGTTCTTCGATCTCATATGGAGCCTCTTGAGGTACCATATCGCCTGCGACGTACTGTACCACTGTGAGATGTCAGTAAGAATTGAGGTATGATGGAATTGGGGGCTCACGTCGCTCCACTGAATTCATGTAATTCTGAGGCGAATAACAATTGAATAGCCTATGGGAGATAGTAAGGAAAGCCTTACCTCAACATCTGCTGTCTGTCTGGTTACCAGACTACACATTTGCGACAGCGAGGCTGTGACAGAGGTTAATCGATCGTACAGACTGTAGTGGCGACATTGGGAGACCCACTGGTATACGTCAAAACCAACCCTATTTGAGTGGTGTTTATCCCGGAGACGTCGATCATCGCGAGAAGAGCAACCTATTGAGATCATATTGAGTAAGCACGAGGTATCTGTCATTGAGTAGACGCCTACAAGGAAGACTAATATGGCTCCCATGAAGTCCAACCTTATTGCAAGCCATCTGAGGGAAGGTGATGAACAATGACCGCCAAGATATGCATAACTTGAAGGTTACTTGCCTCTGGTTCGTGACCACGAGTAACAGAGCTCTGTCCTCCAGATCAATATAGTATCTATTGGCAGCAATAATCCGCTTCATTTCTCCGTAGCTGCGGATTGTGGGCAGTCCTGTTAAGGTCTCTGAAAAGTGGGCATACAAAAGAGAGCGAAGCATAGAGTCTGATGACCAACTTCAACGGAGGCTTTCACGTCAAAAATACAATAACAAACCCAGACGCTTGACTTCGCGAGCACCAGCTCGATAAAAGGCGGCAAAGAAGCCGTAACCGATAGCAATGAAGAACACAGCAATAACTAGTCAAGCATGAGCCACATCCTCACAGATGATATCAATATGCTGACCAAAGTACGGTTCAAGGACAGAAATGATGACGATAGAGCCAACCACGCTGGACAGCATGATGACAACTGGATCTCCAGTTAGTTTCTATAAATGAAGCGTGCAATTAACGTACGCAATCTCGTCGATTCTGGATCATGGATAAGTGACATCTCAGCATGCAGTGATATATGACTCATGTGGTAGTTGATTATCAATACCTGGATGAAAAGTTTCAGCAAGTACAACATAGCAAAAATCAATGAGATACTGACCGTCGATATCTTCGCCAAAAATGCTCAGGATTCGGCCCATAGGCTACAGGAACACAATAAGCATTGTTTTTAGCGCTTCCATATACAATCATTCACTGTAGTGTCAAAAAAGGACATAGACGCATAAAAGACATTGCGTACGGACTTGTGGTGCAGGCTTTGAGATGCATAATATGAAATGAAATCCATTCCAGCACCACTACAGCAAGTTGTGTTGAGCGAGCGTGCCGCCATCAGCGATAGGAACTGACTTACAGCAAGCATACTAAGATCGCTTGAGCAACCCCTAGGCAGCCGTACAGCGTCTGATAGAATGAGTTTGGTCGGTTGAATTTGCTGCACCAGGATTTAGAAGAGAAATAAAAAAGTCAATAAAAAGATACTGACTTGGTCTCCCACCAAACTAGCGTGTACTGCCCATTGGGAGTGGAGGAAGATGGCTCCAAGCTGTTGTCATCACTCAGACACATTGTCGCATCAGAGTCAGATGCAGACGGCAAAAGTTTCGGTATCCGACGTCGTGTCCATGATGGCACTAGCGTATGCGTTGCCGGTATAATCCGTTGTCGAGGGGATAGACACTTCAGCCTGTAAATGCACATTTTGCTCTTGAGAGAACGGAGGTCGGGGGGCATATGCGCGGGGATCCCCTGCTGCCCAAAGCTCTAGGTCGATGACAGTGGGAAAGTAATTTTGAGCAAGATTAGGTCCATTCGCATATGAACCACCATCATAGCCATACTGGGACCATGCGGGGACTTCCAGCGACGCTCGAGGGACGGAAGAGGGCTGTGGAGAATAGTGTTGGCTCGGATCGAATGGGGGAAATTGAGGGAGACCAGCCACCGGAGCGGTGAACTGGTTCAACGTTGGAAACGACATCTGAGTATTTGGAACATCCGGTAAAGATGCTGAAGACCTGGAAAAATGAATGAGCAATGGTGGACACTCAGTTGGGGTGGCACATACCAGTGATACGCCTTTAGGTATTCATCTTCCTCGCAGGCCCGAGCCCATCTGCCACAGGCCGTCAGTTGAATCGATGTTTGGATTGAGGTAGAACTACATACTCAGCCCAGATGGCGGACACATCTTCGGGATAAGATAACTCTTGGGCGTCTTCCGAGACCGTGTTAGCGATGGCTTCATTGTGGATTCCAGGTTGAGAACACGAAAGGATAGTCCTGCTAGAAAAATTATGAGATGGAGCGTGTCATCTGACTCGAGATTGAATACTAACCTATCCAACGACATCTGAAGACTGTCGTATGAGGCACTAAATGCGGAAGGCATCATCAGCATATACCGAGTCGACATGTGAGTAGACTTACCTAGACATATCAATCAAATGGTTAAGATGAAGCTTCAAAACTGTTTCAATCAAGGGAAACATCTCAGATGAACTTGATCGCACCTTTCCAGGACACAGAGCCTGTCGACTGCTTCTCTTTGACGATCAAGCGACCTTCAAGTTCACCACTCCCAGTAGCCTGCTTTTTGGCTCTTTTTGACTTCAACTTCACATCCTCGATGGTAATGCGTGTCTGTGGAATGACTTCCTCTTCCTGGGTTTCCTCTTCCCCCTCCGAGGCATGGCCACCGAACTCTAGGTCGAAACGTGCAAAATCACCACCGCGAGAGACCAGATCCTCATAGGTCCCACTCTCCGTGAAAACACCGTTCAGGGTATAGATGTAATCTACTTGAGAGAGGAAATGGATCACATGCATGACCAGAATGACAGTAACGCCACGATTTCGCAGGGCACCCACGATAGCATCTTGGAATAAGGACTTTCCAACATTAGCATCGACTGAAGGCGTTCTCCAATATGATAGACATGAAATAAGTGACATAGCTCACCTGCCGAGAGCGGGTCATCAAATATAACAATTTCAGGTTCAAAGTACAGAGCACGAGCAATGTTTACCTGGGTGAAAGATAAACATCGATCCTTAACAGATACAAGCCATGAACTCACTCTCTGCTTTTGGCCTCCGCTGAGGTTGATTCCCTTTTCTTCAATCTGAAACATAATATAAGCGGCGATATCAAATTGGATTCACCCACGTACCTCAGTTAAATCCCCATCTGGGAGCAGTTGGAGGTTTGGAAGTAGACAAGCAGTTTCAATAATGCGCCAATATCTATCCTTCTCGAATGGTTGGCCAAAAGTGATATTATCACACTAGGGTAAGATATTAGATGTACTTGCCCTTGAAGTTAGGGCAGAAACCATGCTGACCAACGTAGCATTCTGAATCCACGCGGTCTGTGGACAATAACCAACGCAACCACCAAATGAGACATGCCCGGAGACCTTCCTCATCTCACCTAACAGTCCTTGCAATAAACTGGACTGTTCATGGGTCAATGGTCGCTTCGAGAATGTCATTCGACAAAATTACCTTGCCACTCCCGACAGGCCTAACTACAGCGACAAGTTGACCTCGTGGAATGGTCATGGTCACATTCTTCACCTGAAAAATAGGTGTATCCTTTCCAGGAGCGGGCTTTTCCTTTTCCTTTGCCATGTCCTCCTTCACACCTCTGTCCTTGCCCCTCAGTGGACCACCGCTGCGTGCACCCTTCGAGCTGAAAGCCTCACCAGAATCTTTTGCATGCGACTCCCACTCAAATGTCGCGTCCTTGGTCAGAAGCGCGGGTTCTTGGTCCTTGTCAGTCACGAGTGTATCTTCGGAAATAAGTTCCACGCGGAACACGTGTGCGAGCCACTGAATCGCGTTGGATGCATCGGGTATAGCCGATAGAGCGCGAGGCATGAACGTCATTGGTTGCCAGAAAAGCTATTTATCTCTTGGGTAAGTGCGTGTCTATGTCTGCCGCAACAAACAATTTCACCTGGAATAAACTGAACGAACTGAATATGACAGCAACATTGAAGTTGTGTGCTGTCAGGGTGTATGTGACGAAAGCTAGTGTGGCAGCGAGGACTGGCATCGAGGCCGCGAGGGCCAAGCTGCGTGAATTGAATTAGGAGGCGTTGCTATGCTATATCCATTTAGACTTACTTCCCCGAAGTTACATGAAGAATCCTTCGAATACCATGCAGTTCCTTTTTTCGAAGGTAGAAGATTCCTAAGCAACTTTCGTGAGTATGTTGTTGATATTCCTTGACATCGTGCTTACTTGGAAGGAAAGGAACTTCGTATGTGAAATATTTGACAATCCATATGGCTCCTGTGTACTCTTTAGCATCATTGCGTGTCCTAGCAGCTCCAAGGTTATGTACCGAGTACCTCTAGCAGAACTTTGACTTGTTGATCAGTCTATTTCATCGATACTGAGCGAATACAGCGCTGCAGTGTCATTGAATCGGAATCGTGAAGGCAATTAGCGAGAAACCAGCGAGTGCAGATGGCCCGAGCTAGTTTCCAAGTTAGAACAAATCGAACTCTTTATGGTGTACAACAAACCTCAGTCAAAAGATAGAAATGTGATTAACGAGCGTGGCGTTGTTGATTTTAATGTGCGCTTTGCCCGTCAGGTTCACTCCACACTCGTAAATACATGTTATCAGCGCGGCTCTGGCCAGGACCCCTGTTGCCATCGAACGTCAAAAGAACTTAGCAACATTAGGTGAGCCGAGTGTAATTTATAAAGTTTTACAAACCTGGTGGGTGCAGATGCTGGCCATCACAGTGAGCTCAAAGAGCCCAAAGGCCATGGCAATCCCACGACCGACATTAGGGCCAGGTGTTCCTGCAACGATTGCAGCGGAACGCTCCTGTGCAGAGAATGATTTGCTGCCGGGGGAGGACAGGCATCAGAGGCCACCACAACCATACACAGAGGTTGCTATTTACCCAAGGACGATAGGACCCATGAGTTGTGCAGTATCACCAAAGACCTGACAAGTGGTGTTGTACATTGATTATTGATTATGACAGCAATAAATGAGAGGAACACTCGTACCTTGAATATACCTCCAATCCAGTACATCCCACGAAAGACATCATTCAAAGTCCAAGTTCGGTCTTCCGCGCCCTTATTTGATGGGTGGTGCTGATGGCAGGGTCTACGCGATGCATCCTGGATAAAGGATGATGTAATTGAGATGCTCGGAGGTATACCCCGAACTTGAACTTGCTGGAAGGTTTTGTCTGAGCGGTTCGCCTAGGGTTAGGATTGGTGTAAAACATCTACCTATGCGCACCTCAGCTTAACTGCCTGGAATACGGACACTAAGCAGATAAAAATTGGTAACCAAAGTGATAATGATAGGGGCAACACAACATAAATAAAGATAAAGTCAAACGTGCAAACGGCATAATATGGAATATCATTACAACAGCCATGCATGTCCTTCAAGGAAGGATATAGCTACAACAATGGTGTCACGTGAGCACAGAAGCATTGGAAGATATAGAGCCATCAAACCAATCGTCAAACCAATCATCAGACCGATTATCAGAAAAGTTGCTAGGTAGGCGTGATTCATAAGTCGTTGCACTTCCAGAAGATGTGCATGTGCCTACAGTCACGTCAGTGAGATAACAAAAGCAAAGACTGCAAACCCACCATCATTAGTACACCCAATCCCAGCAGTGCGTGCAATGGCTTCAGAGAACATGTCTACTTCGGACTGTGCTCGTCATTTCATCAGCTGCAGAATGTGAAAATCCGACTTGAGCACATCCAGCGGTTTGTCCTCCTTTGTTTTGAAGTCGTTGGGGTTGTCGAGGCAGATGGGCTTCGTGACTGCACAAGATGCACTGACATAGTCACCATATGTGACACTACTAACCCAAGGTTTTATCAAGCAAGGCAAGGGAAGAAATGAATTGTTGGGCTGCACGTTGTAAGAACACCAAGTCCACCATAGCAGAGTAATACTAACCTTTAATACGTGTTGGTGAAACTGAGGAATTTCTCGAGTTCGCGGGAAATCCGTTTGAAATTGCCATGACGTGGAAAGCCACGCCTCGCATTTCTCTCGAGTAGCTTTTGACGGTTGAGAGTGAACAAAATTGACCGAGAAGTCATCACCATGGACCGAGAGAGGCGTTCGTACATGCACGACAGGGTTCTCTCTCAGCATTGTCCTTTGCCATGTAGCTGGGGGAAAAATCGGTGTCAACAATCATGTCATGAGAGCATGCCCTTACGTGGGTGGTATTGGGTGTTCAGCTCTTCATACACATTCTCAATAGCTTTACTGAATAACGAAAGCTCCATTTGAGCTCGATACCTCCTCTCCTCCATCAAGCAACGCCCTCCTTGCACAAGGAATGTGATGTCAGTGTACTCTTCTTGCTGGAGCTGTCTCTCCACTGCGGCCACTCTGAGGCTTATATGAAGGATGGCGATAAGATCAAGGGGGTCAACCCATCCAAACAATACGGATGTTGTGATCAGGAGGGATTCTGGAAGCTGGACTTTATGTTATGATAAAATAATTATGAAAACATGAGAGTGCACTGACAATGTCACGCCCCTGTTTCTGGAGCCAAGATTTCAGGGTGTTCTCGGTGTGCTCACCAAGCAAGTTTCTTGTCGAAAGAGTGTTAGGTGTAGGAAGCAAAGCTGAACATATATTTAACATATCGAAGTAGGAGGGGGGTAAGAAGAGGCTCACATGCGATCGTTGAGGGCTTACAAGCGAGTATAGAGGCTGTGGCTGTGCGACGGCGGTTCTGGCAGTGGTGGCTGTACGACAGCGGTCTATAAAAAAACACAGTATATGACTAAGTGATTACGAGAATCTACTCACCTTGAATTTAGGTGATGAAGTTTATTGGACAACGCGCAAGTCCTTGTGAGAAAATCATCCGAGTCCGCGGTCGGTAGGCTTGAGTATCGTTATTTACTGAAGGGTCATAGATGTACTTGGCCGTTCGCATGAACCATGCCTGCGGATCGCAGCTGCCAAAATCAAACTTGGGGTGCTTTGCTTACCACGACAGCATCTTAACCCTCAAATATCGCAAGAAGATTTGTAACACAACGCAACGCCGGATACATTCAAACCTGACCGATATAAACAATATATAGAAAGCGACTTCTACTTCAGATCGGCTTATTTGCGGCAGGCAATCTTGACAACGTCAGTTTTCCTGGATGTTGCATTCCCGTTTATCAGCAGCACAGAAATGAATTGCATGTTAACTCACTTCAAGTTGCAAAACCCTGCAAGGTAAATCAGGAGAATCGGGAGTTCTGGGTCACCTTGCTGTGCGAACAGGTCCATTGCCGTCTTGAGAAGTTCGTCATAAATCTCGCTAACAGAAGGAAATTGTGATAAGTTAGTGCTGACTCCCCCTGCCTTGACCATATCTATCAGATAGGAGAGGAGAGCACTGTAACACTAACAAAATGGAACACTTAAAAAAATAAGCACATAACGTAAAAGCAACTTACGCAGGCCCCTACAAACGCTAATGTCGCCGGGGGTAGATGTGAGGCGTGCCTGAAGATAGGGCGGTTGATATCAGCCATAGTCCTGATCACATTGGCCGATTTAGTGGGCCGGTATACCAGATAGTGAACGAGTGATTTTGCAATGCTCATGCGAAGGAACCGCACGAAATCATTAGTCTGCGTGGCAAATAAGACATTAACATTCAAAGTTAACGAAGAAAACTAACAGCAATCGGGAAACGGGTCGAGTTGGGAGACATAAACATGTTCATCAGTTGTACACACATGGAACACATGTCACTCTGCAGAGCGAAGGGGCATGGGTTTTGAAGGGTAAAATTGTTCATCAGTCCACCATCTGCAATTGTGATGGTAGCTGCCCGTTTCATGAGGGACAGAAGGGCTGACAACCATTTACCGACCTATTCTAGGTGAGACAAGTAGATGGAATCAATGAAGAAAACGTACCATCCCCAATATAGCGTCTTCTGTGATATGGGTATGCCCATCGGATGATATAACTAAAAAGAGTCAGGATGTCCGGAGAATATTATATGAATGAGCTCCTGACCGCGACCCAGAGATGCGGAATCTATCCCAACCGCAGTGAGGCTCCATTGGAAGAGCTCGCTGACGAACTGTTTCCTTTCCTCGGAGTAATTGGCTTGTGTGAGTAGAAATGGATTAATGGGTATCCCGCGGGCAACATCAGATCTCATCTCGAGCCGCAAGTGAACGAGGACCGCTTTCCACTGGGGATACCAGTCTTGGATGGTGCTTAGAGTATCTGTACTGTCTGCTTGCGCTTCAGGCTGCGTGACATTGTCATCAAGATTTGTCGTGCAGCCAGTCATGTTCACGGAAGGAACACCGGAATCCACCAGTACCTCAGCGACATTCAGAGTTTGACCCAAGGGTAGTTCGCCAAACACGGGAGACTCTGGCTCCGACACGATGGGATGTGACTCAAACGGCTCATAGTCGTTGAACTCCGGGGCAACTATAGAGGTTTGAAAGGGCTGAAAGAGCTGGGATAAAGTGACAACAATGTCAATAGGGCCACGTCCCTGAGGATACTGGGCAAGAAGGGCCATTGTTTTCTGAATGCCCGGAGTGGGCTAGGATTTTGTCACGCGAGATAACTTCAAGATTGTAAGACGGGCTTACCCAGTCATATGTGATATAAAGAAGGTGGTCAGTTACCGTGTAGGCCTGGTGAGCCAAATCCAACTTCCCAGATGGCTCAGCATGCTACAAGACTAGTCAGTGGGAAAGCAAGTGCAGTCCAAGTGCAACACGGTACCTGGGTGTATATGGGCACAGACCCAGGTTCGTACATGGAATGGTGCACGATTTCCATCCCGTTGTGCATGATCGGTGTCGCAATATAGCCAATCAAGGAGATCTGGTGTCTAAGCTATAGAGACGGTCAGTGTATGATGCCTGAAGAATGAGCCACCTACGGTGCCAAGGGACGTGGATAAACACTGGTGTATAGTGAGACATTACTGCAACTCTCAGAAGAAGAGAAAACTTACATATAGAGGGAACAACGTTGTTTCTTGTTCGCCGATGGAAACATAACCGACGAAATCGAACCCTGCGTCTAGGCTGACGAGGCCCTGGAGGAGAGAGATAGTGACGTTGAAATAGCAAGGTCAAAAAAAAAACGCACAGAGATAGGCATCATGCTAGGTGAAAGGTCGCTGAAGAGATAGCATTCATGAAGTTGAGATTCCATGATATCTGCAGATGAAGACGTTGAGAATGGACGAAAAAATACTCATTTGAATACAATTACATACTTTGACCGCGGTTGACCGCATTTGGCCGCATCCATACGCCATCACCATGTAGTTGACGTATTACATGAAAACGACTCAGTTATGGCTCGAATAGTCGACCGCGAAAGCGGTCCCAATAGATTTAATGGTTTTGACGGTCGCGGAATATTTGAGCTACATTTGCAGTAAAAATTAAGATATGATCTAGTTTTCGTAGTCTAGATCTACTTCGCCATCATACATCTCATTGAATTGATCTGGTAATGATTCGTTAGAACCGAATGGCTGCTCAATGTCCAACCCATCGTCAGTATCATCACTTTCATCGTCACCTTCATCTACTTCTACGTCGTCTGTGAGGTCTTCCACATCACGGTTAAACGATGCCTGTAAGTTAATGTCTTCTCGTTGAAGCTCAACCTGTGTGGTGCGATAGTGAGAATATACATGTCCGACGCCAAGCCCGAAGTGAAAGCGCATAAGCATATCGCGGTCAACGAACCTAATATGACAAACTCGAAATCAATATTCTGATCCACGTTGCATTATGACCAACTTACCGATTGACATAGTATTCGCGCCAGTCATCTTTGTCCCCCGCACATGCTGACACACCCGATCCATCAGCATGTCTCTTGCCTCTGGTGAAACGAGGAATGACGTGACAACCCCGAAGGACATCGGCAGGATCAAGAAAGTCGAACGAGTGCTCATGGTTCAGGGGCAGGAAGTTCACTCGATCCAGGGTTGAAGTCGCCCAGGCGGAGACTTCATCCATGGGCTCGTACCAGCGGATCCACAGGAACTCCATTCGTATCGGAGTGTAGTCAACCATACCATGTCCAATGAATATGACATTGACATGGTATACGCCAAGTACCTTACCATAGTTGTACCTGTGACCATGGCACCCGATATCGTTGTCGGAGCGGAGCACCATAATGTTGCAATGCGAAGTCCTTGGATTGATAACGTCCTGGGCTCTTCAGACATTGTAGGTCGTATAGTTGAACCTAGCGATGTTATGCTGATATATGCGATCATCCTTGAGAATAATTGTATTGATATCCTGTTCGTCTCCTACTCCTGAGGGGGTAATGATTTGATGTAAGAGGTGTTCCTTCAGTTTCAGAAGGAAGTTCTGCAAGAGCGTGTTAGAGGGTTTTCGATAAAGCAGTATATGACCAACTTTTATGGCTGGATCACCCGGGTGGCTGATCAAGTACGATCCTATATGTATAGGGTACTTCTGTGTCAGGCCAATATGATGATGAGCCTGAGGGCTTCTTGCTACCTCAGAAATTTCAACATGGGGGCGATTGAAATTAGTGTCAACAATTCGACGAATGCGAGCCTGACGGCGCTCGATCCAAGTCAGCTGTTGAACAAAAGATTTACGATTGGTGCGACGATATCTGGCTTTGGGGGAATGGTGTTCAAGTTTGCCCTGGAAAACTCAAGTCAGGGCAGTTCATAGCGGAAGATTATATAGGACGGACCGGTTCAGTACTGTAGGAATCAGATGTGCCATACCGACGAATGGTAAACACATAGTCTCCCAACGCGTGAAATTTGTATGTTTGAATATTGAACACTTTGCTGCGCTTCAAATTCTCCGAGGCGTCCACCTCCGCTTGCTCTACGACACAAGTAGATTGTGTACATTTATGCCCTGCCTTCTGGTGCACCGCCTTCTTTGCACGGCGTCAGGCACGAGCCCTGACTTCCTGGCCAAGTTTGCGGGTCCCGTAAACATTGCAAACTGTTGCCTTGAATTGACGAAACTGTTGACCGAGTGCTGACGTCACGTGGTCCATAATTTCGAGCGTCAAATCAGAATGCATTCGGAGCTTGGCTAGCCCATGCCAATGAGCCATGGTGAAGAGCAACTCAAGAACAGTCTGATTATGTGGCTCAGGAAGAAGGCCGTCAAAGACAGGGATGGAGCACTGTGCATTGTGTCAGCCTATCTAAGTTGAATGGCGGCAAGATCATACCTGGAGGAGATCTTCAAAGTTTCGAGCCGCCAAATGTTTCATCTCGGAAGAATTGGCCGAAAACTTTCGAATGGTGGCTGGTCCAAACGTCGGAGTTTGCCTGTATCTGATGACAGAGGAGTCAGCTGAATCAGACAAGTAACACGTTAGCATACATCATACCTCTGGTCCAATTGATGAATGAGACCCGGGTCCTGCGCCGTAATGATCTGTAACAAGTGAATAAACAACATCTTCCACACACCGATCTCAAATTCATGTAACAAATCCACCACAAGAGCATGAAATATACTGAAACCCATATGCCCCAGGTGGTCTGAGAATGCATTCTAAGACATAGTAAGCTATGGTTGGCGAACGAACTGGAAGTCTTACTGAGGTAGGTACCCACGGCTGTGGCTTCAAAATGTGTTCCACCGCTGCGCTGCCGACTGCGAAGCTTTGCTCATAAATCAGCGAGCGAGCATCATTCACCATCATTCTTCTTCTCTCATCACTGCGAAAGAGGGTTTGGTGTTGTTTTCTATCTAGAGGCATGCCCATATTATGAATATGATTCTTCGGTATAAGGCAGCGGGGACATGGACACCCTCCTAAGTTTCTAACCATAGCTATGAGTACTCTAGTAAAATTAGAGTCAATACTATTCAAGGTACAAATTGAGTATACGGACTTTTCTGGATAGTCTGCAGAGTAAGTGAAAATCCTCGGATAAAATCTGCGTTTGATGCCATCACAGCAACACACTACAATGCCGTGTTCGTAAGCTTCGAGGAACTCATCGTCCAGCAGAATCCTCCATTGCTCATGAAAGAACTCCCTGTGGCAATGTGTTGCGCACTTGCTGTTCAAGCCTTTCCCATCTGTAAAGGCTTTGAATGAATCGTGGAGCTGACAATACGACATTTAAGTATGCACCATATCGAACAATGTAGGAAGGCATACCGTTTCAAAGTAAGCGACATGGTTGCTCAAGTTGAGAAATGGTTTGCAATGGCGATACTTAGACTCGTTGCCGAAGTACATGTAGGTAGGCCACAACTTGGCATTGCCAAACAAAGTGAGTTGCGTAGCATCAGACCAAAACATGAGGGCAGCCACCACTCGAGGTAAATCGCAACCAGGTTCCCCTGGTGATTCTTGTAAGTTGCTGTGAGCTTTGTGAAACACGGCGGATGTGTACAAGTCCCCATAGATGGAGACTTCGGCATCCAAATGAGGAGAATTCCAATGCAGCTGGTATGGCTCGTAATGGAATAGCTTATCATCTCGGGCGTTAGCCAGCTTCTCTTGCAAAACACCCACGAGAGAACAATGATACAATTCAGCAGCGTGATAATGCCGTGAACCTGGTACTTCAGCAGTGTGTGCAAATGGCACCTCAATAGACACCAGTGATCTTTTCCATCCGGCGTCTTCATCCTCCCATTCCTCTCCATCTCCCTCATCGTAGTCGTTGGTACCAAGCTGCGAGTTAATTTTTTTCCAATGGGTAGAGTGTACATCGGTAGCCTTGAAGGTACTGTCACCCATGATCTTCATCAGTTTCGTATAGTCTTCTTGCGATTTCTGCACTCCTTGATTCCAATACCAATTGCCGAGTTCAAATGAAGAACGGTTAGGATATGGATGATACTGAGACTCGCCGCTCGCAGAGGGAGGCGCATGTTCGTCATCGTTGACTTGAGGGCTGCCCTGTATTAACGACAAGTCCGCAATAGTAACATACTCCTCTGGATCGTGGGATGGCACTTCAGACGAGAAGTATTGACGCACGAGCCCAAAGACATTTCGGGGGGTGCGTAATACCGTGCGTACTGGTAAAGCAGATGGATTATTTGAAGCGACAACAGATACCACGGGCACAAGATGACGGTCGCAAGCTTTCAACGGTATAGTAGGCGGAGGCTGTGGAAGCACGTCTCTGAATCTTAATGGCATCTGGCGGTTCTGACGCCTCGTTCTGCGCTGTGCCAGGGACATGTCCTCTATGTCATTTTGAGCTCCTTCACCTTCAGGAGGGCCACCCACGCCCTCAGTAGCAATGGAAGGATCAGGTAGAGATACTACTGTCACTTCGAGATGTGATGTTGAAGGAATGACATGCCCGGAGGCCAGGTGGTCGGAGGATGGTGTATGAAGTGATCCCGTAACCAGCCCAACCTCGATGCGCGGCTTCTTCCTGCCAGTTAATAATTCCTTGAAAGACGATATGGCTGACAAAAGACGCTTTTTCGTTTGAGAGCATGACCGTCGATGGTAATTGAAGTAGTTTTGCGCTGTGAAGGTGCGCTTGCAGGCGCAAGTGTAACCAGCAGTTGACATGACAAAAAAACTGGAATATGGACGGATCGCACCACCCAAGACATCGTGCGACGATCGAAGCCGAATAGACTAAACAGGGATCACGCTACCGAAGTGGCAGAAATTTGTGATCGCAGAGTACCTGAAAATGGAGACCGCGATTCACCAGGCACCTGAAAAGTGGAAACCGCGCGAGGTTGAGTGGCTGAAAATGGTGATCGCGCAGTGGTAGCATATCTTGCAGAGATGCATAAATGCCCACAATGAGCTCAAGGCGTCTTCCATGCTCCAGGAATGTCTCGACTCTCTTCTCCATATTCTGAAACGCTGGAATGTCCTCAATTTGAAGCTGACCCCAAGATCGTTAGAATGCTGGTGGATATTTTGATTTCCCGCCATGGGATACTTCACTATCATGGCCCAACGGGGGAGCTAGCCACATATCAATGGTAAATCAGTTGATTTTATGGAACACTTACTCCACTCACCCGAATGACAGGCCAACTGACAGATATGGGCACAAACTTCATCCGTCGCAGTTTCTGAAGTATCGCGAGATGCATGCGTTCCGTTACCCATCTTGCCTTTGCTCCAAAGTTGATAATTATGTCAAGGCTTCAGTTTTTCAACGAACTGCAGGGATATGCAGAGGAGAATACGTCGCCGAATGTGCGACCAGCACTTGCGGCTACATGCGTGAGTTGGGTTCCTCAACATCAAGGCGCGCGGATCACTAACTCTTAACTTAGTAAATGTAGAAAAATTCTTCGACAAAGCCTACATACCAGCTATGCATTATCCATGCAAAGGTATACACTTGTATCTTACGCATGTCCTCACACGTTCATACTCTCAAAGATCATCGACCAATCTGCACATCCATTAACGGACGGAAATGGCGACGTTCTTGGACAAGGTCCACAACAGTGTCTCCCACATCAACATTGTAGTACAAATTAATTGTCGTAGACATATCTATAACTGAAATATCAGTGTCTTATTTTAAGTTTTGAAGTTTAGTACTAACAAGTGATTTATCATGTGATGTACCCAAGACCAGCAATGATATTATGAGCCTGACGGGGCCCGTCAGTACATCCATCAATTCTAGATAGATACATTAAAGATGTCCATCACAGTGAGCGATGGGTATCTCACCACCTTGTAGCGTGTGCAAGGTCCTGGCGTGTCAAGGCATAGCTTGCATTGGACAGTCAATATGACCCTCAACACGCAAAAGTTATATTTAATTATGACGCGTATGGCGTCAAATGTCACAACAGCTACAAGTATCGTAATAGTACCTAGTAATATGGTTGTAAAGGGAAAAGAGAACAGGATGGCAAGGAGCAGGTTTATATATGGCTTTACTCAGAAATCAAACTCCGACGGCACCACCCGAAGTACAAGACTGTATTACTAATAAGTTGCGAGTCACGACAGCTACAAGTATCATAATATGTAGTACCTAGTAATATGGTTGTAAAGTGAAAACAGATCAGAATGGCAAGGAGCAGGTTTATATACGGCTTTACTGATAAATAAAACTCCAACGGCACCACCCAAAATACGGGCCACCGTTGTCATGATCCTAGTAGCTTGAAGTTAGTGAGTCCCTGAACGTAGTACATCGTCAATGCCATGTGCGCGCCTCACTTCTATCATTTGAGCGTTGTAGCGGCGGTGGCTCGCCAGTCCCCGACTCTGCCATTGTCAACTATGTATTATGGACATCTCACATTGTCGTCACGTCTTGTTTTCGATTTTAGCCTCATGTGCATGAGTGAGGATAAGTGCAAGTGCATAGGTCTTGACGATACATCATATTATTTAGGTCTAGATAAGAGGCCAATTGGCTACATCGTGGCAGTTTAATCATCAGCTTCGCACTGTCATCTCCAGTTTCCACTTTGATTTTCCCCAAAGCTGCAGTGGCAAGATCATACCATAATACTTGAGACTCCGTTAATGGTCTGCCACAAAGTTGCAGTGCAAGAATCGTAGTTAGGTGTTGGCGAAGAATCTTGAGCGCAACATTGGCCTGGGGGCGAGCTGATATCTGATTTTCTGATCAATGGACAACATGTTAGCTTGGATCTGGGTATAATGCTATGATGTCAATGTCTTGTATTCACTTGGGACGTTGTACTGACCTTGAATTCACTCTCCCCACATAGGAGTACGAGAGCGAGATCGTCGATGGGTCCGGTCTCCCAAGCATACATCTTCTTCGAGTGCCTGTAAACCTCTTCAGTACTTGTTGCTGTCATCATAATGGACTGTTACATGAGTGTAAAGTAGACGAGATGGTTAACACCAAAGTCAGCGGGCTTCCTGCCAAAGTTAGCAGAAGTAGGGTGAAAAGCAGCAGATTGGTTATTCGATATAGTGCGCATTTGTCCAGAGGAAGAGTCGATTGCCAGTACTTTAGGATAAAGCCCCGCAGTGAGAGCCGAGTTGTTGAGAGCAATATTAGATCCATTGCTATCCAGAGGCAGTGGTACGCTCACGAGCGACCAAAACGTGCACTGGATAGAAACATCGGTAATGGGGAGGCGTTAGACGCACTGTTACATACCGGCTGAGTTCTCGAACGAAATTCCTATCAACAGTGATAAATGAAGAGTCGACTAAGAAGCTGCAACAGACTTCTTAGCCAAACAGCGATCACGTATCAAAACCATCATACCCTAGGAATTGTTGACGTAATTCCTCGATCTGTTGAAGATTCTGGTGGCTAAGGAAATTAACCTGACAGATCTTGCGCACAAAACTGGGATTCTCGGATGCTCTACGCCAACTCGAAAATGCATTGTGGATCATCAAGAAGTCTGAATTATCTGAAGAAGTGGAGGTAAGTTCGTTGTCTTTTAATGTAGTGCATAACTAACCAATGTGGAACGAACTCTTAGCACGGTCCGCCTCTTGCTCCATACCCATTGGTACTATGAACGGGGACTTGGAACTCAAAGCAGCAGCGATTGTTAGCGCAGGGTCCAGAGATCGGAATAATACCGCGGTGAGCAACAATTTCCCTACATGCACGTCTGTAGGCAACATGCTCAGAAGCCTACCCATCGGAGTGATGTCCTCTGACGGTGTAAGAGCGCGGACCTAAGCGACAGATGAGAAAGGTAAACACAGGAGTTCTGGCATCGACTAGTGCTGAGATAGCTCTTCGCACATTCACCGGCATAGGAGGATCCAATGCGCGGGACAATACATCCTCGACTCAGATGGTGGTGCCAATTTTCACCTTCATGATTTTAATGCATAGGGAAAGGTCTGATAAGCTAAGCCGCATCATCTCTGGCAAAGGATGTTCTGCCAACTGAGCATGTGGTTTCAGTAAAAGACACAGCTCAGGAATGCCCAAGTCTCACCGACGTGTCATGACGAATCTTGGTGAACAAGTGGAAACACAGTCCATTCTGCACCCGTCCTGCACGACCTCTATGCTGAGCAGCATTACTTTTGGCAACAAAAGTTTCGACCAAACAACTGAGCTGGTGCTTTTCGTCAAACCTAAAAATAGTCAGTGATTGTTGACTTCAAGAGAGATGGGTAGTAGTGACCTCATCTCGCGATGTTTGCCGGTGTCTATGACACAGGTAATGTCAGGAATAGTGATACCTGTCTCAGTTGGTTCAAAGCTTGAAGAACTGCCACCGATTGTGCGATGTTGGTTGCTGCAAAGGAGTAATGAGAATGATGCTTGGCTTCGAGGAGCAGATGCAAATAAAAACCTATAACGATTTTGCGAACTCCCTGAGGAGGGATGTCAAACACTGCGCTCTGATTTTCGCTCAACAGTGTCTTCGTCCCATTCAAACCTATTCTTGTTCTCGTGGGATTTATCATGTACTGATAGATTATTCGAGTAAGTGGGCATATTGCAAGGATAGTTTAAAAGTTGGTCCACGATTCATCGCGTAAGGCGAATTTTCCTGGATGGACCAATCTGCATACTCTATAGCATCCTCTAAGAAGTGAACATCCACAGGGAAGGTTCGACCTGGGACATGTAATGTGGGGCATCCATTGAAATAATTGGACAGTTTGTCCGCGTCCACTGTGGCCGACATGAGAATGATCCTGTGATGCACTTGGTCAGCGAGCTGCGTAGGCTAAGACGAGCGTGCTTACTTCAAATCCGACCTCTGGGAGAGAAGAGATTTGAGAACAATGAGAAGGAAGTCTGACTCAATGCTGCGTTCATGGACCTGTATAATTGGACATGTAAGGAGCTCGGGCTTCGGAAATGGCTGCACAAACCTCGTCAATAATGATGTGCTAGAAATAGTATTAGCTGTGTCTTTACCCTGATTTACGTTTTGCTCACTGTGATCTCGTCAAATGCAGTGCCTTGACCATTGGGGCCTGTGCCTCCCTCCAGCATACGAAGAGCGATACCATTCATAACAAACGCCAGGCGGGTATTTCGCGTAGTATTGCTTTCCAATCGAATTGAATAGCCGACTAGCGAGCTTAAAGTTCCAACGGCACCAGCAGAGTCACCTAGCTCACGAGAAACTCGTTGAGCGAGAGATACAGCTGATATTCGACGCGGCTCTGTACAGTATATCTTGCAAGGGAGGCCACGAGCCAGCTGATCCTCTAATATGAACACAGGAACTTGTGTGGATCTGCCACTGTAAAATCAGAGAATAAGTAAGATGTGCCTTTTAAGAAGTAATGCCACTTCACCAGCCAGTCTCGCCACTGAGCACGAGGATCTGCGAACGGTCAAGAATGGATAGGATTTCACTCTTATACTTTGCAATAGGAAGCTGATTGTTATGCTATGAAAGAGAGCTTGAAAATGTAGACCAAACATTCATTTCTGGAGTCACTTACAAGCATTTATTGATACGCAGGTCGCAATTGTCGCGCTCTGAAGTCCGCAATGACATGATCAGAGCTGATGTCATTGCGAGGCAGATTCCGAAGTGGTATGGGGTCTTTGGCCTCTGTGGTAGCCCTCGTGTTCTTATATCGGGGATATCAGATGGTGCAGGTATGTCTTGTTTTTCAACATGTGGACCAGCACTGAGTGGCTTTGCTACTTTCTTCTCTCGTGTCGCTGACGGCTTTGGACTCGATCCTCGTAATCTTGACTGAAGTAAAAGGGTGTCAACCCTAGCACGTTCTGACCGATACTGCGTTTCTGCATCTTTTTCGTCAAAGAAGTAGTGTGACTTCAAAACCATCAGCTTGTCTTGGAGATGCTGGACCAGTACAGGGTCATGATGAGCCGGTGGCTTGCCCCTGGCGGTAAGATCTGTTATCTGCATCTTTATACGGACGTACTCCGCGACTAGGTCATCTATATCAGGTGAACTGGATCTTGATGGAGAAGACCTCATCGATTCGGTGGGAAGAATACAGCCAGATTTCAGCAATTCTACATCTGAGGCTGGCCGTTGTCTTGCCAGCACAAACACCGGAGCATTAGCATCAAGCTTTGATGCAGCTGTCACTGCTGCCGAAGGTGGTGACGGGTTAGATGCTGGCAAAGGGCTTCTTGGTGTCGGAGACTGAAGCTCTTTACGCTTTCTCCGAGGCACTTTCGAGAGCCCCTTCAGTGACAAATTCCGTATTATACGGGCCACCCGACCTCCATAATATCCCGTATGAGACGGGCCAGCTGATCATGGGCCCATGTTGTGTATATTCTCGATGATGACGGATGGGCCGGGACTCATATTATTTCCGATGGAGACGGGTGGGCCCATGTATGCCAATGATATATATGCTTAATGTTGACGGATGGGCCGGGGGAATATGATCATTCATGGAGATGGGTGGGCCCATCTGGGTAATATGTAGAGTAGGATATTATAGACAGCTGGGCTGAAGAGAGATGTAAGGCAAATATTGTTATATAGACGGGCGGGCCGACGTGGGTGTATTACATATATGGGTGGGCCGAGGTAGGGGAATATTACATAGACGGGTGGGCTGACGTAGGGTGTATTACATATACAGGTGGGCCGACGTGGAATGTATTACATATACGGGTGGGCCGACGAAAGAGATATCAAATAGACCGGTGGGCCGAGGGTGCTATAAAATATTTATTACATAGACAGGTGGGCCGAGGTGGGGTATAATTATATAGACGGGTGGGCCGATGTAGGATGTATTATATAGACGGGTGGGCCAACATAGGATGTATCACATAGACGGGTCGGCCGACGTGGGGGATAATACATAGACGGGCGGGCCGACGGGGGTGTATTACATATATGGGTGAGCCTAGATATGTTCCATCAAGACATACAGCTGATGTAGCCACCAGCGAATCAAACACATAGGATACATGTACACTATCAGTGCATATACCTACCATCAACCACCAAATCTAAACCCCTAAGCACAAAAACATGAATCTATCATGTGTGGCATTGACCAATAATCCAGGACTGAAGTGGAAAAACCCCACACCTGAACCCTGGTGTGCAACAAATCCTATTTCTAAGCATGGACACCAGAAGCACAACACTCACAAAAATATATATGTCAAATTTTCAGTGCCAAACCCCAAACCGAGATGTACCAACCCCCGAACCCCGAAACCCGAGAGTGCCGGGTCTCGGGTATCGGGTGTCCGGAACTCGGAACTTGGGAGAATTTGGGGAGATCAATACAATTTAATTTACAATCGAGTTGATTGACAACACATTGACTTACCCATGTTTGCAATATATTTTTGTTTAGACATACCGAGTTCCGAGTTCCGGACACCGGAGACCCGAGACCCGAGACTGCCGGGTCTCGGGTGTCCGGAACTCGGAACTGGGGAAAATTTGGGGAGATCAATACAATTTGATTCACAATCAAGTTGATTGACAACACATTGAATTAACTATGTTTGCAATATATTTTTGTTTAGACATACCGAGTTCCGAGACCCGAGACTGCCGGGTCTCGGGTCTTGGGTCTCGGGTCTCAGGTGTCCGGAACTCGGAACTCGGTATGTCTAAACAAAAATATATTGCAAACATAGTTAATTCAATGTGTTGTCAATCAACTTGATTGTGAATCAAATTGTATTGATCTCCCCAAATTTTCCCCAGTTCCGAGTTCCGGACACCCGAGACCCGGCAGTCTCGGGTCTCGGGTCTCCGGTGTCCGGAACTCGGAACTCGGTATGTCTAAACAAAAATATATTGCAAACATGGGTAAGTCAATGTGTTGTCAATCAACTCGATTGTAAATTAAATTGTATTGATCGCCCCAAATTCTCCCAAGTTCCGAGTTCCAGACACCCGATACCCGAGACCCGGCACTCTCGGGTTTCGGGGTTTGGGGGTTGGTACATCTCGGTTTGGGGTTTGGGGGTTAGTAAAATGTTTACAGATATACATAGGTTGATTTAAACATGTCTGGAAGATGTCGTTCATCTAAAATGTCAAATCCTGAGTTCCGGGTGTCGGGACTCGGTACCCGGCACCTGGGACTCGGGGTTCGGCACTAATAATTTGACATTCAGGGTGTTCGGGTTTGGGTGATATCTACCTCAATCTGCAGTTTCGAGTTCTGGATATCGGGAGTGATCATTGAATGATTCAATTGTGGCATAGGTAACATGCATGGAAAAACATTTATGTACATCTATCACTGAGCAATTATGTAGCCATGTCAACCTCCTCACCAGGAAGATCAACCTTTCCCTCAACATCCATCTCCTCATCAGAAGAATCATATTCTGGCAGGAGGTTACCTGGTTCATTAGGGACCACAATATCGCCGGGGGATTCTGGCAGGAGGTTGCCTGGTTCATCAGGGAGATCAATTTCGCCAGAGGATTGTGGACCCTCAGGCTGAACTTGGGTGGGCTCAACCATGGGACCTACCACAGCAGATTCATGCTCAGGCGTCAAGGGTGTAGGTTGCATGACTGAAAAGTCCAAATCAATGAGGTTGGAAAGTGCGGAGGGGAGGGGTGACATGGACGGGGGGGGACCTCCTTGACCAAGCAACATTATTCCATCGGCCAGTGTGTCCGGAAGTGAAAATGAAGGGTGCCGGTCGACCACTGTGCGCCGGAGGCTCTCATGGAGGTGTTGCAGGGTATCAATCTTAGCGTCCTGCTCCTGCACCTGAGCCTCAAGAATAGCGATGCGAGCTGCACCATCCCGAATCGCAATTGCCTATGGAATGGAGATCCGGCATGGGAACATTGAGTGCTGCACTGAGGCACTGCGACGCTGGAAGACCTGACTGCTAAGTCAAAAATTAGGTCAGCCGGTCATCAAAAGTATGGGTGACTTACCAGCTGGCGCAGGTGCAGGGACAGGTGCAGGGACAGGTGCAGGAACAGGTGCAGGTGCAGGTGCAGGTGCAGGTGTCTTCTTGGTAGTGATGGTCTTGCTGCGACCACGTGACTGCACCTGGGGTGTGGTTGCAGCAGGGATGGCCGGAGTTCGGGAAGGGCCACGAGATTGACTACGAGTTCGGGCCCTTGACCAGGAGGGAGATGGAGCATTGGATGGAGCAGGGGCAGGTGTCTTGGAACGCGTCCGGCCGGTGGTAGACTTCCCTTGGGTCCGTTTGGGCGGGGATCCCAGAGATGCAGGGTTGCATTTGATCTTCTTGGTGGAGCAGCGGATGCAAGACAAGCAGGGGAGGCTGGACCTCTTGTCCAATCGAGTCGCACAGGGCCAATTTTCCTTGACACAATAATGGCAGGGGTTGTTCTGTAGTATCCGTTAGTAGATGGACTAGAGGGAATATATTTGAGTACTCACTGGGCTGGGAATGGTGATATCAAATGTGGTAGTGGCTGGCGGGTCACCATCCGAAGCACTGGAAGTATCATTGGACTCCTCCTCAACTTCCGGACGCCTGCCGGAGGTTGCCTGACAGATTGTTAATACACATGAGTTTCTGGAAAACTTCTAGGACTTACCCGAGCCTCCGGACGACTGATGGGAGATTTCTAATGTAATGGGAATGAGTGGGAATTATACATGGGAGGTCCGGACATGTCCAAACGACTCACCGTAACCTCCGGACAACTGCCGGCAGTCAGCTGTGGACACATGAGCATATATTTAAAGTCCAAACGAAAAATGCAAACTTACCGAAGCAGGCCCAAATGATTGCTTCTTGGGGGAACTGGGTGACCGAGGCAACTGGGGCTTCCTTACCACAATGGTGCGCTGGGGAAGGACGACCTCCGGCACTCCACGCAAAATCGGCTGCAACAAATTGAGAGCATGTCAGAAATCAGCCAGAACACATACCTAAACAATTGGGTTCTCATCATCTTCCGACTCCACAAACGGCTTCGACTTGGGGAGTTGACTTGACTTGACATGCTTGCGAGCCTTCAGCGCCGACTTTGGAGGTTGGGAGGAGTGTCCCGAAATCATTGGAGACTTCCTCTTGTTGCTCCCCCCAACTTCCGGCGACAGGTTGACGGAGGTGGCCTTACCTTTTCCTTTGTCCCGGACCTCGGGGGTCGTCTTGCCGGAAGGTCCGGCGACGACCGGAGGTGAGGGAATGACAGGGGTGGGGGAAGGGACAAGTGCAGGTGAAGGGACAGGTGGAGACGGAAGGTTGACAGTCAGTGGGCCAGTGGAAACGTTAGGGACAACAGGGAGATCACAGGAATTGTCACCCAACGCCTCCCAGGCATGGACTTGCTTGCACCAGGCATGTCTAGCCACCCGGGGGTCATCGTGGCCAATGCTGTGCCAGTTGGGCAATGCCCGGGGAGTCATGGAACGCACCCTCATCAGCTCCTTAGAGCAGGACGCCACAATTCCAGGGATGTACTCCCCTTTCTCATGGGCCCGGATGATGTCAGCCTACCCGGACATTACAAACATTAATGTTACACTAATTTAATAAGTTCAACATACCAAAAGAGTGGTGACCTGCTTTGTTAGAACAAGGTGGACATCCACAGAGCCGGCCGGGATGTGCTGGGCGCCGGCAATGATGCCCACAAGTTGAGCAGTGGATGCCTTGAGGTTGGCCAATGAAGATTGAACTTGAGTAGACATTTGGATGGAGTTGACAGATGTGAGAATGTTGAAAGCAGGGTGAAATCTGTTATCAATAGAATGAAGTTTCAAAGAAACAATACAATTGAAGGACAATGTTGAAAATTCATTGATTGTTTGTGTTTGTTTGGTCATCGTTCAACTTTCGGCAATCGCCGGCCATGTGTTGAACTTCGATGTTATCAGTTATCAAT